TAAAAGCATTTATTGTGGTACTTGGGGGTTTGTGTTCGTTTTGAGACGGAGCCTTGCTACTGTGTAGTCCCAGCACATATGGGATATGGGCATGTGCTACCAGACCAACCAAGCCTTGCGTAGTTTCAGCCCTGTCGTTGACACAGTGCTCCAGTGCTCACGTCAGAGTAATCGTTGAGTGAGGTGCTTGTTTTCTTCCCTTGTTACTTGTATCATGGGAGCTTTTTTTGGTGAGGAAAAGTCTGGTTCCTTTTAAGTTTCAAAAGAATGTGCTTGTGCTGTAAAATATAGGCAAAACCTTTTATTTTTATTATTTGGATTTATCAAAAAGCAAACCCTACCCACTGAGCTCAGCATGAAACTGCCTCAGTTCTGAGTTCATGAACTGCATTCTCCCCACAGGTTCAGTTTAACTTGCAGCTTACAAAACCAAGCACAGCACTAGATGCGCAGCCAGGAGCAGCTATTGGCAGGCCTTGCTCAACTGATAAGGAAAAGTAAGTACTCAATGCACATAGAGTTTATTATTTTAAGTGAATGAGTGTTTTTCCTGTGTGTATATTGTATGCAACCCGTGTCTGGTTCCCACAGAGGTCAGAAGAGGTTGTCGCATCTGCTAGAACTGGAGTTGCAGATGGTTTTGAGCTGCCATGTGAGCGCTAGGAACACAACCCAGGCGGGTGTGCTCAAGAACAGCCGTGTTCCTAATACTGCATCTCTGTAGCCCCTTGAAAGTTGATTTAAAAGTGTCTGGAAGCCATGAGGCCTGCTATTTATCCCTGACTTCTTTGTTAGACAGGGGCTCACTGTGTAGCTCTGACTGTCTTGGCACTCACTGTATAGACCAGGATGGCTTCACATTCAGAGAAATCGCTTGGCTCTACCTCAGGTGCGGGGATTAAAGGTGTATGCCACCAATTTAACATGAAAATTTAGAGGCTTTTTGTTGTTGTTTTTTTTTTTTGCTATGAAAAAGTGATTTATATATGGTTTTAAGTTATAGTATCCCCATTGGTATAGTGAAAGATTTTTTTCTAAGTAATGACAACTCTTGTAACTATTTGGACATCCAGGCATGGTGGTACACAGCTTAATTCCACCGCTCAGGTAGCAGAGAAAGGCAGATCTCTGTGAGTGCAAAAGCCAGGGCTACGTAGTGAGGACCTGTCTCACAAAGAAGGCTGCAGAGGTCGTTCAGTGGTGCTTTTCCAGAGGACCTGGGTTTGATTCCCACACCCATATGGCTGCTTACAACTCTTTGTAACTCCTCTTCTGGCCTTCAAGGGCACTGCATACATGTGTAGACATATATGCAGGCAAAACACTGATACGTACTAAAATAAGTAAATATACACGCACAAAAATTTTTAGTGATATTCCTAAACCAGCTGTGCACTTTTCTGTCACGTGTCACTTACATGATCTTTTTTTGTTCTAATGATATGTATTTTTTGACTCCAATGCACTCAAAATAATATTCTCCTCTATATATGCTGGTTTCTCCTGTATTTTCTTATTCCCACCCCGATGTGTGTTTGCCATGATATAAAATCTTATAGTGCTCATAGAATATATTTATCTTATAAATAAAAGTTCTTACTACATCTTAAAGTTTACTCCTTTTCTGGAAGAAAATCTTATGTATAGGTAAGTTTATTTGTAAATAAAACTAGTGAAAATCCCAGCTCTCGGGAGGCAGAGAGTCTGTGAGTTTGAGGCCATCCTGGACTTCAAATTGAGTCAAGGACAGCCAGGGCTCTGTTATACAGAGAATCCCTGTTTTGGAAAACAAAAAGCAAAACAAGAAAAAGAAGCCAGTGAAGAGTACATAGGTCAAGTGTCCTTTATTCAAAACATTTGAGACCAGCAGTAAGCACTTTAGACTTTTGAAGCTTCAGAATGTTGGAATATTTGCACATACATATCTTAGAATAGGACCAAAGCCTAAGATAAAGGATTGGTATTTCTCCAACATCCATCAAGGGAGGGCAGCAGATGTGGGGTTGTCAATTTGGGGCATTGTGTTCATGTGGTGGTCAAAAATTTTTGTATTATGGTATTTTATGGCACTTTGAACTTGTCATCTAGGGACATTCAGTACACATATAGAAAATGAACAATAAAGTGAAATTTAAGACAAAAATTCTTTCTTTTTTTTTTAAAGTGGCCAAAATTTAGGACTAGAATCCAAATACTTGAAGAAAAGAGAAGACAGCATTCCTTTACGTGGACTCAGCCAGAATCTATTTAGTAATTCAGGTGAGGAGATGTTGGCGCCGAGTGTGGGACAGTTTGTTTTCATGAAGTGTGTCTAAAGCTGAAATAATGACAGGTTGTGTGTTTCGTTTCTTTTGCAGACCATCAAAAAGATGGCATGTTGGGAGCATTACAGACATCTTCTAAGCCCACAATTGTCCCCTCTTCATCTTCAGCATATTTCCCTGGGCAGTTACCAAATAGTTAATCCAACACCTTTTATTTCTTACTGATAGTTTAGAAATTTAAATGGTTTAACAGTCCATTACCAACAAAACCAAGTTTTTCTTGTTCCTGTTAGATTTTTAGATCCTTTATAATACTGCTGCCATTTACAAACTTAGGGAATTGATAGATTCTGAGTAAATGGTATTTTTTTTATTCTGTGAACAGAATGTTTCAACAAATATCACTGAATTTTATCAGATTCCTACCAGTTGGTCTGAATTAGGGACTCCCTAAAGAAAAATACACCCTGCAAGGCATAGTAGTAAGCTGAAGAAAGCTTATGGGGCATACTATCACTTTTATTAGTAAAACAGTTCTTAATTTGCCACCTGAATATTGGAGAAAGAGCTTCCACTGTGATCACTGGTCTTTACATTGATGTCATATATATATTTGTTTTGTTTTTTAAACAGGTTCTATTATGTAGTTCAGGCTGTCCTGGAACTTGCTATATATGTAGACCAGGTTGGCCTCAAACTGAGGTCCACTTGCCTCTGTTATGCAGTATATTCTGATTGTTTTTCTTCCTAACTCCTCCCAGATGGTCTCCACTTCCCTGCCCACCCAATTTCATCTTCTTTCTTCCTCAAAAAAAGGAAAAAGAAAAACAAAAAAATCAAAACCAGTAAGATAAAAAAATACCAAACCAAAACCAATGGAGTCTATATTGTGCTAACCAGCTACTCCTGGGCATGGGCGTTTGGAGTTTGGTGGATATACCCAGTGACACTCTGAAGCACTTTAAATGAGTGAAATTAAGTAGTCATAGTAAATTATTTTCTCTAAGACATTTTTTTTTGATCTATGAAATAATTTTTATTTAAGAATAATGTGGACAGTGTATTTACATGTCCGAAGTGCTTTAGTTATCTGGGCTGAACATAGAGGATTTTGACTCTTCCATACAAAATCTTCAGTGTAATATAGCATCATTAATACTCATTACTTTTTTTTTTTTTTTTTTTTTTTACTAGAGTTTGCACTCTGTTAATAAAGCAGGAAAGTGAACTATTGGAAGTTACAACTTTATTACTAAAACCTTCCAAGAACTATTCTTTGAAATTTAGTTTAAAAAACAAAAACCCAAAAACTTTAGCGTGGGGGCTGGAGAAAGATGGCTTATTGTTTAAATTGTTAAACTGCACTCATAGAGGACCCAAGTTCAACTCCCCGCACACGTTAGGTGGCTTAAAATAACCTGGAACTCTGGCTCCTGGAGACCCACTGTTGTCAGCAGATACCACATGTGCAAATACCTATGTGTGGACACACACACAATTGAAAAAACCTCAACCTATAATCTTAGTGGAAATTTCCCACTAAAGGAAATTAAAATTCTCAAAAGATCCCAAAATCTTATTTGTAAAAATGCTAACAATCATGTGATAGTTTTAAAAAGTTTCAAGGGGCTGAAGGGGTGGCTCAGTGGTTGGTTAGCACTGGCTCCTCTTTCAGAGGACTGGGTTCTATTCCCAGAACCCACATGGCAACTCAGAATTGTTTATCACTCAGATCCAAGAGACCTCTTCTGTTCTTTGAGTGCATCAGGCATGCATGTGGTGTCTAGATACGCATGCAAAACATACACATTAATTTTTCAAAAGCCAGGCACAGTAGTGGCACATGCCTGTAATCCCAGCACTTGGGGAGCCAGAGGCAGGTGATCTCTTTAAGTTCAAGGCCAGCCTGATTTACAAAGTGAGTCCAGGACAGTCAAGACCACACAGAGAAACCCTGTCTTAAAAAAACAAAACAAAAATTTTTTTTCAAGTACTTTATGACATGTCAAGTTTACTAGGGCCATACACAGTAAGACAGGGAGGGACCTTTAATCTCACTTTCAGGATGCGGGCAACTGGCAGTACCTTCAACAGGGGGTGTAATCGAAGTTCATTGATGGCACTTATTTTGTAAAGAAGCCTCTTGGCAACGCTGGACTACTGTAAATACTTGTAATATACATAGGGATGTGGCCGGCTTTAGAAGGGATATGACATATTTAGCTTTTTAAAAGAGAGACTATCCCTAACTATTTAAAAACACACGTTCCCAAGAAAGGACAGCTCTTTCCACAGCAGGCTGTTAGCGAGCTGTGCTAGGTGTCCATGCACACAGACAGTACAGATTCTCTGCTCTACCTCTTCAACTTTTGTTTGAAATTATTTCGTGGTGTATAACTGTACATGTGTTAATAATCAAAATGTTGCTTTAATGCTACTGTGACCTTTGTTAATAAAGTACCAAAACTTGGGAGTTTGATGTGCCAGAAGCATGTTTAGAAAATAAAGACTAAAGACTGTCCTGCAATGACTATGCTTAGGTAATCAACTTGCAAACTCTGCATTTTTATCTTCAGTTTTGTTTTGTTTTTTTTTTTGGGGGGGGGTGTGTGAAGTGGGCAAACAAATGGATTGCAGAGTAGTGAAGATTTGTTACTGTAAAAATGTTTATGGTAACAAAGCCCAAATAGGCCTCACAGGGACTCACAGATCAAGACTTTTTTAAAAAGAAAAAAATCATTAAAATATTTAATTTTATTAACAGAATATTTACATTTTGAGACCTTATTTAATCATAGTGAATGCTCCAAGTTTAAAAAGCATTAGGCAGTAACCACACACAAGATGAAAACAGTGTAAACTATACAATACTTTATGTACAATTTTTACAAAGTAACACTTTTTTTAAATAATATAACTGGACACAAAAATATACACTTTAGAGAAATTCACATCAGTAATTGTATAAAGCTCTCTTCTAGGGTCCTGAAAATTTAGGACAAACATTAGCTCTGTAAATAAAGTGTTACTGTGACAGTCCTGAAAGGCCACTATATATATTTATCTACATATAGATATCACATTGACATTTTCAAGGCTACCAGCTTTACTATATAATTTTAGATTATGGTATTCAAGTGTTGAGGTCCTTATGATTATGCAAACATCAAAAGAATAGTGGTATAAGGAGCAGAACAAATTTAAACAAGTTGAGCCAGAACATAGATGTACAGGCTCTGACCCCCCATTCAAATTCTAAGTGGCTGATATTTTCATACTTCAAAATAGTAGTGAATGTTTTAAATGAAATTATGGTAAAACAAGCTTGAAACATGATTCTGATTTTCTACAATTTTCACAAGTTTGTGTTTTAAATGCAAACAATTCTTTACCATTTCTTTATTCTAGTGCATCTGCATTAAGGCTTTGAATTATTTGACCCAAGATTTTACAATATTAAGATCTGACTCAGGCTTTTACAACGATCAAGCAAACAGGTCCATAACCACCCTGCCTACCATGTCACTGAGTCAGCACGAGCAGGTAAAGGCTCAACAGCTAAGGAAATGGCAGCAGAGATGCGCTGACAGTGGAGTTACATATACATAGCTTTAATTAAAGATGTGTAATAAAACAGTTTAGTGGCAAGAGAGTGGTGCTAATAAAGAAAAGGTTTCTTTTAGAAAGAAAGAAATTGTAACATCTTTGGAAAAAACTGTCTGTTTCTTTCTTTAGTTCCCACGGAGTTCATGCAGATATTTCTTAAGACAGTCTTAAAGTACATTGTAGATGGAAATGGAATGTACATCCAGAACTACAGGTGAAAACTAAGACCTGGGTGCTGATAGAAAAGTCTTCCTGATTTCGTTCATTACACATTCGTGTCCTGGAGTAAAGGTTCTTTGGCCTCTCCTGGCGCTTGTGTACTGTGAGGATGGCTGTGACCACCACAGTGCTTTCTCCAACTGCTGGACCTTAAACTTAAGTTAGTGTGTTCTGGAATAAACAAGGCAACGAGCAGAGCCAGCAGTACCGAACAGGCTCCGAACAGGAAGGGGGGGCCGGGGATGATGGAATTCTGAGGAAGAAACAATAGTTAGAATTTTTGCACAGATACTGGCCCCTAATAATTGCTCAGCATTTTCTTAAGCCAATGACTCCATTAAAGCAATAGCTAGAAAATACTTCAGGAATAAGTTATCCTTATCCTTATTGCAAAATCCTGCCCACAAAATCTCGAAAAGGAACAACCATGTATCGATTTTAGCCCAGAGTCTGAACAGGTGTTCTATGCACTTCCAGAAGACAGGAGCCTTGCAGTCAAGCAAAACTACACATATTAACACACCATTTTGTTGTTTCAAAAATATTGCTAATCCCAAACATAAAGCAGATCAGGTTCTTACTTTAACCCCAGATCACATTCATTCTGAGCAAAATCTGACAACTGTTTTTGTTGTATATAGCAGACATTACTTGGCTGGGGGAACTCTTGCTTAATCAAGGAAATTGAAGAGCTTGTTTGTATTGGCTCAATAGTCATGTGGTTTGGCATAGGTAATTTCAGTTGGGAAATAAAGGAAGCAAGTCAACAAATGTATGCATAACCACTTCACTCCATCTAGAGATGATGACTACTGTGACACAGCAGAAGTCAGAAGAAAAGTAATAGTCTGGAATGGAGAAATGGCTGACATACCATTAGGTACAAATTTAAGCGATTTTTCGCTCAGCCAATTTTGCAAGGGGGTTTATTTTCAAAAACCTCTTTAATCCAGCCAAATAAATACATCATTTTAACATGTGAATGAAGAAATACCTGTTCAAAGTGATGCTGTGGGCTTGTGTTTGTCCCCAGGTCTGTTCCTGTGATTGGCAGTTCTTTAAGTTCCACATGAAATATGTAGAAAATGAACCCATAAAGGGCTGGTCCTAGACCATTGCACAATCCTCGGATTCCTGTTATCATTCCTTGAACAACACCTATACGTAAAATAAATCGTTTAGCACATTATCCTTTTCCTACTCTTAAAAAAACTGCAAATGTGAAATCAATCTATATGGATATTTTTAACATTAGTAGCAACTTACTCTAATGGTATTAAGTGCTACTGAGAAGCCGTCAGTAGTTACTGCCCTCTGGCAATGCAAGCCCAGACATAACAGGATGAACTCCCTCCTGGTAGCAAAAACACTTGGCCTTTGGCTATAAACAAGTCAGGAACTAGTAAGTACTTTAAAAATCATCCCACACAGTTTGCAACTTGGTCAAATATATATTACTGCGTTTGATTTTCAATTTCTCTAGGATCACCTTTCTAAATGAAAATGCACCTTGTTTTTACCACAGGCTTTTCCTTCCTCATTTTACTAAGTAACATTGTACTTCCTCATTTTACTAAGTAACAACCCTCTTTTCTCTTACAGCCAAGTCAAGGACCCCTCTTCATCTGTTAAAATGCTGAAAACTAAGTGTTCTTACCACAAAACCCTTCTGTGTTTACTCGTGTCTTCCATCTGTAGATAACTTAAAACTACGGGATTTTTAAAGGCTTATAATGAAGCCTAAGGTACCTATCACAATAGCAAAATGGCAGTTAAACCTAATAGTAAATCAGGACACAAATGTGCAATGTCCCTCACCTACTTGGGGAGGCCCTAGAAACGGAATGCTGGGGGGTTAGTCCTTGGAGGAATGTCTTGTCCCTGGCTTCTTCCACCTGTTCCCTGTCGACCATTCCGTAGCGGCTTCTACATGACCCTGCTGACACAATCCTCTCTCGGGGGCCACAAGCAAGGACAAGCAACCATGGACTCTCTAAAAACAATGGGCCAGATAAATCCTCTAAGCTATTTCTGTTGGGTATTTTGCCACAATGATGCAAAAGCCACTATCACAGCCAAACACTCAGTATTTAAAAAGACAAGTGACTAATCCACTGGAAATTAGTATCTTAAAACCAGTTTACCACAGGCAGCAAACAGAGAACAAAGCTTTAAAGATACACTTGGCTTCAGTACTTTTGCAAGAGAAAACTAGAGATACAAGACTGGTGTTTGCCGTCACTAACAGGAGTTCCTATTAACTCACCCTGTTGATCAGCGTCAGCAGTTCGTGAAACAAGGGCACTAACAGCTGGAAAGGTAATGCTAGACATGGCTGCAACTGCCCCAGCAGCCCACATCATCCTGTAATCAAAGCAGCAAAACAAAATTTAATAGTGCTTCTCCATTTTTCCTGTCAAATCAAACCAAGTCCTGACTGTCCAATGGCTGTGGTAAAGGTAAGTGTGCTTTCTCTTCCTCTGTGTCTCTGGGCAAGTCATTAAAGATATAGCTTGTGTACTCTGGAAGCAGTTTAACTACTTGTTCCAAAAACAGTGTGGTACTTTGTTGTAAAATTGAGGTTGTCAAGTTCCAAACCATAATGTATGTGGAATATCCTTATGGGGGTAGTTGAGAAGTTATGTCGAGTATACATAAAATAAACATCAAGTGTATTTAAACACTGAAGCCAACAGTCTTCCAGTGTCCCCATGGACTTGTAATTCAGTTTAAAGATCACTGGTTGATAATATCGGGAATATAAAGGGTAAAGAAGATGGATGTTCCTGGCTTCTTGTTTGAAAAACATACTATACATTTGTGAACACTTCTACAAACGCTTGACTGGAAAACATATCACCCACTAACAGACTTTCTTAGAGTTTACTAACACCCAAATCCAAAGAGGAGGTGGGCAGACCAACACCAACTCTCCTGCAGGATTCCAGCCTGTAAGAAAAGCTGAGCTGGGGTGTGATGCCAGGATGGAGGTGTGTGCACTGGGCTCATTCCTCACTTTTTTGGAGGGTGGGGTTATTTTCCTTAACCAGAAAAACAAAATAATAGAATTAAACTGTCAGGGCTTTGTTGCCACAGAATCCTATGCTGTTTCCTAGTAACAAAGTGATTAAATTAAATGTTCCTTAGAGATGCAATACCTTAATCTCATGGGGGCCTTAAGCCACTCTAGAATATGTATATGGAAAATTGTACTATGCATGCACAAAAGAAGTATATTAAGGTCAATAGCTTGGTTGAAAAGAACAAAAAAGGCAGGGCTTGGCATAACTGCAGTTCCAGCACTTGTAAGGCCAAGGCAGCCTTAGCTAAGGGGCAAGAAAAGGGAGTTGGAGAGATGGCTTGAGGTTAAGAGCACTGTCTGTTCTTCCAAAGGACTGGGGTTCAATTCCCAGCACCTACCGGGCAGCTCACAACTGTCTGTAATGCCAATTTCAAGGGACCTGACACCTTCATACTAATACACATAAAATTAAATTTAAAAAAAAGGGGGAACATGTCTCAAAATAAAAAAAAGCTAGCATCAAGACATTTATAATGGGGTGTGGCTATGGTAGGTAGGCTGCCCATGCCCCAATAGATGGCCCCACTTCCATGCCATGTGCACATGGACAGCATTGATTAGATTTTGGGTTAAATTCATACTAGAAACGAGTCTATGAGGTTGGGAGAGATGTACTGGAGAGTCAGAAGGGGATCAGGAGGCAGGAAGTAGAGGGTTGATCTGAACAAGATATACCATACAGGGAAATAACTTTTCAAAGAATATTAAAACATTAACAAGCATTACAACATTTATACCTACCAAGGTTCTGAACCAAAGCCATACCATGCCAGCTGCAATATTTGAAATCCCAGACCCAATAAGATCGTGTTCTTATTTCCAATTGACCTCATGAGTAAACTCAAGACTATGGTCTGAAAGAGAAACAATTATCACAAATGGTTTTTCTTTTTTAAAAAATTTGAATTATTTATTTTCAGGAATTGGCAAGCACCTTTATCTACTGAACCATCTTGCTAGCCCATATCACAGATTTTAAAAAGAGGCTAACAAAGGTGGTTACTTTGCTCAAATGAAGCATCTTTTACATGGTGTGGTTTTTTCAGTAGTAACTGCTAACTAGCTCAGAGTTCAGTTCCAGGCTGACGCAGGCAGAATGAGCGCTAGATTGCTCCAGTCACACTTTCTATCCCCTTAGTACACATGCATGAGGACCATAAAAATGTGGCTCCTGATGCCTGAAGGAAGCTTCAAGGTCAGGTGAGCCCTAGTGGTGGTTTGGATGAGAATGGGCCCAATCCACTCATCTGTTTTCAATACTTTCTCTCCAGTTGGTGGAACTGTTTGGAAAGTATTAGGTCTGTCTCCTGCATGTGGACCAGATATAAGCTCTCAGGTACTGCTCCAGCATCATGCCTGCCTACCGGCTCATGTTTCCCACCATAACAGTCATCAACTCTAGCCCTCTGGAACTGTACAGCCCAGATTAAATTCTATAAATTGCCTCGTCTTATCTCAGCAATACAAACTTAACTAAGATATATCTCAATGCTATCCTATGACCCAATGACTACCCACAACTTCATCTCAACCTGTTGTTTGAAACCATGAGGATTCTATGAACTATGAAGTATAATTTTGGGAATTTATGTTTAAGAGCATAGATTTTTTTAAAGGATTTATTTATTTATTTATCATGTATAACGCTCTGCCTGCATGTACATCTGCACCAGATCACATGGTTGTGAGCTACCATGTGGCTGCTGGGAATTGAACTCAGGACCTCTGGGCCATCTCTCCAGCCCAAGAGCATAGATTTTGAAAAAACAGGCTGGACCATAATCTTTGAGTGGCGATTAACAGCCCCAATTTCAGCATTCAATACTGGATGATATAAAGCACTTATATGAAGTGCTTAGAGCTGTGCCTGGCATAGAGCAAGCATTTAATAAATGGTTTTATGAGTAGATGGACATTCCTCTATTTCAAATCTAAATGAAATTCAGCATAGATTGGGACATCAAAAATAACTCTAACTAAAGCTGATCAAATGACACAAAAAATAAGTCTGTAGGAGTGATACCAAAATCACTCTCATCATTACTTCTTTACACATTAAATAATTATAAAGTGTAAGTTGAACTTTTTTTTTTCCCCAAGAGCACACTGAAAAATTTAATCATTTGACATCCTATGGGGTTCGGTCACAAATATGCTAGTAAAAAGCAGAGTTGCTTTTATGTCTAGGTATGTGGTTACTCATGTCTGTAACCTGAAACTGAGCCAGGAGAAGAACTGTCGTATGGTTGAGGTCAGCCTAGGCTATAATTGAGCTCTAGGCTAGTGCGAGTTAGATAAAAGAGTCCTTATCTCAAAAAAAGGTTCCTAGAAGCTTCTCAGATGAGAACCCAGTACCACCAGAGTAGGCTCCTAAAAGGACCTGAGGACTCAGCTTTGTTCTCCAAGACTCTGGTAAAAGTGAAACGCATACAGGCCCAAGGCCCCAGGCCTGCCCACCTGTGGGACTGGACTCTTTGGTAGTCAAGCCACAAAATTCCCTGATGTATCTGTTAGGATACATTTAACTTACTAAAAACACATCTGGATAAAGCTAGTATTTCTTAGTCTAACAAGTATGTGAAAATTTCAACTTTTATTTCCTCTAATAAGATTTTTTTTATGTTACTTTCTTTTAAGGCAATGAACAGCACATTTTCTATTGCTTGTGAATGGACAATATTACAGGCAACGTACATATTAAAAGCATCAGAATGTAAAAATTTCTGCTTTATTTATAGACCATATCAAAAACACTTTAGTCACTCAAAGAAAACTTTGGAGTATACTCAAAACTCTATGTTAGGTCTCAGGCAGTCCCTATGTACAGAAATTAAGTCTTTGCTCAATTCAAGATGGACTATAGAAGGATTTCTGGCTGTTAGATGAAAGCCAGCATTCCTTAGGAACTTGTAAAATGTGTTCTATCTGCCAAAAGGAGTCACTTCCCCTGCCTCTGGCAGAAGGGACATATGTTTCACAATTGATATAAACATGCCACAGCCCAGACTGGCCTCCAGGCTCCCTCAGTACCTATTCACAAGTATTCTTGTAAGTCTCAAAGTCCACTCCAGCTTCCTGACCCCTGCTGCCTCCCCTCCCCTACCTACTCATCCTCCTTATATCCTCCATTTCCTCTCTTGCTATTCCCACTTCCCTACTGTGTCCAGTCTGTTTCTTTTCCTCTCCGCTCTGGACTCTTTCAGAGCCCTTTGGGTGTTCTCTCTTTTATCTACAATAAAGACCTTCCCATAATGGAACAGCCATTTCATAGTTTTTTTTAAACTATGGCTCCTGGCATTCCTTGTGGCATCCAATTTCTGGGAAGGACAGGGGAAAAGCTTAATGATTCTGAAAAGTACTCAAGACTATTTCCAAACACAGCACTTGCACCTCAGAAGTCCCACGCTTCCTCTTAAGGCTCTAGAACAGAGGTTCTCAGCCTTCCTAATGATGCGATCCTGTAATACAAGTCCTCATGTTCTAGTGACTCTAGCCATAAAATTTTCATTGCCACTTCATAACCGTAATTTTGTTGTTAGGAATTGTAAATATCTGATCTGCAGGGTATCTGATATGTGATCCCTGTCGGGTCAACCCGCAGGTTCTAGAGGCTCGCAGGGCAGGATATGGGCTCTCATCACTGCTGCACCCCAGAGGAAAAGCACTGCTAGAAGATTCACCTTGATGAAATCCCCACAGCCTCAGATAAGTACACAACTGAAGGGCAGGCTGTGGGCAGAGGCATGCATGCACTCTTCAGAAATGTCAGGCTAAGGAAGCTAACACTTCCCAAACTCAGATCACAACTATCACCAAAACTTGCTTCTAAAATAGCACCTCAGAGCCCTTCATTCAACACAGCTGGCTACTAATTGTTGATTTACTGAATTCATGACCTTTCTCATTTAAAAAGCCAGGAGGGACCATCAATCCTAATTCAGGAAAGGGTTCAGTAAGAGACTATGGGTTCATACTCCCACCCCCACCCCTGACAACAAAACCTCTCCTTGTGCATTGGCTAGCCTGTTTACAGACTTGCAAGTGGGAGCTAAAGGTAATTGTGTTTTCTTAAGACCAGAAGAAGTCAATCAAGTCAGAAACAGAATCCAGAAACACTGATCCCCTCTGTTCCTGGGATCACATCCTGTGTACACTTACTGAGTCAGACTCATTGCTGAGAACCACACCCAAGGACAAAAGACCTTCTGCATCAACAATCACTGTTTACCCAGGGGGCTTCCAGGAACACTTGCAATTCACTCACCAGCCCTCTTTCCCTTATCCACAGCAGCAGTACCGAGCAGACCTGTTTTCTTACTCACTCTCACCCTTGGAACATTATTCCCATTATTCAATCACTTCAAAATCTCTTCCTCTAGCTACTTTTACAGCTTATTCTGCATCTCTGACCAAAGGCCATCTTGTATATCAAGGACCCCCCCCCCAAGTTCCCCTTACTAATAAAACAAAACCTTTCCCCAAGTCCAAGTTTCTCTACCACTTCCCCCTTCTTTGAAGTTATGTGGATTTGAAATGTAAAGTTGCTGTTTCCAACAACTTACCCATAGCATGTCTCATTCCCTACAACATAAACTCTAAATAGCAGGGATCATAGTGCCTGCTCAGTACTGTAGATAGTCAGTGAGTGTTTGTTGAAGAGTGAGTTCACAAAGCAAGGTGTCCTGTAAACTGTCATTCTCATCAATTACTAGCTTTGCTAATAAGTTTTTTTTTTTTTTTTGGCAAATAATTAGGTTTGTTTTTTTTTAATGCTTAACATTTTTGGCCATCAGAGAAAGATAAATTAAAACTTCTTTGAGATACCATTTTATCTTTTTTTTTAGCATTTGCATTACTGTTTTTTTTTTAAATTTTTTTAAAAATTCTTTATTAATTACACTTTATTCACTTTGTATTCCCCCACCCCATGGTTCCCTCCCTCCTCCTGTCCCAATCCCTCCCTTCCTCCACCCTCTGAATGCATGCCCCTCCCCAAGTCCACTGGTAGGGGAGGTCTTCTTTTCCTTCCTTCTGACCCTAGTCAATTAGGTCTCATCAGGAGTGGCTGCATTGTCTTCTTCTATGGCCTGATAATGCTGCTTCCCCCTCTGAGGGGGAGGTAATTAAAGAGCAGGCCAATCAGTTCATGTCAGAGACAGTCCCTGTAATATAAGTTTCTGTACCTACGGATCAGACCTGTCAGGCATGGTGTCGGAAGCCTTTAGTCCAAGCACTTGGGAGGCAGAGGCAGGGGAATGCCTGTGAGTTCAAGGTTCATTTGGACTGATCCCCGCCTATGACATCAATCTAACTAAAGCAGAAACTCACCTGTGCAATGATGGACAGAATGCCCAGGACCGCTATAAAGGCTGCCACACTTTCTGGGGAAAATTTCATTATCTAGAAAGTTTCCAAAACAAGTAAAATTAATAAAAAAGAGGCAAATATGTACTAGAATAACTAGTTGTATATTAACATTAAATGGCTAGAAAAATGTTTACCAACAATTTTAAAGTCTAATTTTAGTTTATACACAAAGGATTCATTAAAATGATTTATCATATGAAAAATGCCTTCTTATACAAAATAGGTCTCCTTTATTTGACCATACTAAGCTATCAAGCACCCAAAATCATTTTACAAATAATTGCAACATGAGTTCCTAGGTCTCAGTCCTAATACCAAGAATGAAGAGTAGAACAGGTACTCTAACAGAAGGCTAAGTTCTTGTTAGCTATTGTTTATAAAATAGTTTTGTAATTTTTTTTTTTGGGGGGGGGGTCAACTTGACACAACCTAGAGTCAACTGGGAAGAGAAAATCTTAATTGAGAAAATGTCATCAGATTGGCCTCTAGGCAAGTCTGTGGGGACACTTCCTTGATTAATGACTCATGTAGGAGGGTCCAGCACACTGTCGGTGATGACACCCTGGAGCAAGGTGGTCCTGGGAGGTGAAAAAGGTAGCTAGCTGAACATGAACCTGAGGAGAAGCCAGTAAGCAGCATTCCTCCACATTTTCTGCTTCAGTTCCTGCCCTGATTTCCTTCAATGACAGACTGTAACACGGAAATATAAGCCAAAAAAACCTTTTTCCCCCCAAGTCGCCTTTGGCAAGTGTTTTATCACAGCAAGAGAAAGCAATATAGGACAGTATTCATGTAAAGATGAGCACAGCTCTACGAAAAGGATACACTGTTTTAGGGAACTAGGAACTAAACATGACAGGTCTGCCTTGGTAAGATGGTCTTACCTGTCTGAGGTATAAGAAGAAGCTGGAGTACTGGCCTGCTTCTGGTAGGTAGGAGAGAAACACCGTGATACAGATCAGCAGCACTATGGAATCTTGGCCCACTTTTTTTAAAGACTGAAATAAGAGAAACACCAACACATGCTTAAATCAAAAACTCACACAATTAGTTTTCTTTTTATTTCATCCTCCTCAAACTAATCTGAAAAATGATAAAAAAAAAAAACCCAAAACCAGCTTGTATGGTGGTACATGCTTGTAACTGCACAATTCAGGAAGCTGATCCAGAATGATCTCAAATAACAGGTCAGCATGGGCTGCACAGTGAGAACTTGATTATAATAAATTATAAATAAACCTTAAGATGCTTTCCCCCAAAACAACCAGAGAGAAGTATTTGTATTCAATACTTCTACCAAATCAGGTACTCTTTTACCAAACAAAAACTTACTGCAAAGGGGTCAGCCTGTTCCCAGGAAATGGGAGCTCCCCATGATGCTGGCCGCATCTTCTCAGGCAATGACTCTGGCACAGCAACAAGGATAAAACAGATGTCTAGCAGAGCGATTGCTGTAGCAAGGACCACCACTAAGCTGTCCCCATATACTCGTCCAAGGTAAGCTCCAATTGCAGGACTGGTGACTAAGCTGGCAGCGAACGTTGCTGAAACCTGCAATCAAGAACAGAGTGGGAGATTATCTGGGACTCCCCTGTCAGCACCCATTCACCATCCTCCTTTACAAGCCAGCTGCAGCTGCACTGTTCTTGTGCTCGCCTGCAGAAAGATCGGCATATCAGATTCTTGCCTAAGGAGATGGACTAGCCTCTCAAACTTTCTTTTAAACTCTGGAGCCTTTTGTTCGAATACATCCTACAGACAAATTCACAAGAAAACAGACCTGTAAGCCAACAAGAAACAAACTAAAAGGTGATTTAGCTTAGGAAAAGAAAGCGCCCAGAACACTACACAAATGCCTTCTTCCTGTCAGTCATGCTAGTCCTCAGTATAGCACCAACCTGTTGCACTTTTCTACAAAGTCTAAAGTCACTCACTGCTGTAAGAAGATTCAGTTTCACTGTGATTCCTCATCAAAATTAAACATACAATCAAATGTTTACTACGATACACATTCAGGGCAAACTTAAAGAGACTTCGCACAGCAGGATTAGGAAGAACAAAAGTACCTGGCACTGAGACCCTCTCTCGACCACAGGAAGTGAGGAGACCAGCAGAGACAAAGATTAGAGCAAACCCAGTAACCCCAGACACAGCTGCCTCACCACACTGATGAACTGCAAATCAGCAGATGCGAAAGCAGATAATGCCTAATGAAAAACCATGCTCTTCAGAAAGAACTGGGAATTAAAGCTGGCCTGGTAGCTGACTACCTTCATGAGGCCCTATGTTCCTTCTCTAGCAATCAGAGGAGAATGTAGAGGAAGTCAAATTGGGAACTTTAATGTTTCTGTGCCATTCTGACTTTTGAATGTAGATAGTCAACACAAGAATGTTTATTTGCAACTCTATGAATAGTGATTAAAATGAATTCAGGCTTTTTCACGCATGATGTCTGTGCTTGTGCGTGTGAACACGTACAGAAGTCAGAGGACAATTGTCGCAGCTGGCTCTCTACTTTTTACTATGTAGAACACAGGAATGAAACTCAGATCATCAGCCATTCGAATCTTCACAGGCAAAACACTCATACTCATAAACACTAGAAAACACAATGAAATAAAATCTAAAGCTGCTGCTCATCAAGGGCCCTGTCTCTCATAATTAAAACTTTTAAAAGTTGTATCTCTTAATCCAAGCATCCTTCAAGAGGCATTCCCCTCTTGATGAACAAAATGTAATTTGTCTCAGACAAAAAAAAAACAGTACACAGCAACATGGATGGATCGGGTAAATCTCAAGAGTGCATTAAGCTTAAAGAGGCTAGACTTAAAGACTGTGTTACACTATGCAATTTGTATGAAATGCCTACCGAAGGCAAAAACACATAGACAGGAGTGCTGTCTGGCCTCAGGGTGCAGTGAGGATAGACGGTAAGAGGGTCTGAGAGTGTTCTTTGGGTCAATGGAGATGTTCCAGAACCAGACAGCAGTGGTCTCTCATCAGGGCACCGGAACACAGAGCAGGTGCAGAGTTCAGCACTTGTGTGGGGCAAAGGGTGCTTACTTTCACTGCCTCATCACATGAGCTCACAGTTGCAATGCAGTGAACAAAGGCCCAGTCTGGGGCTCTTTGTGTTTTACCCCTCTCAGTTCTACCAACCTGTGGCCATTTCTTTCTGGCAGAAAAAGAGAGGACCTTCTCCTTTTTCTATATCCACATTATCTCTATGTCAGTATCATTTGCTGGGTTATGACTTGAAAAGCTCTTCTTCACTTGACCTTAGCCAAAACTAAGAAGAGACCAGGCTAGAAAACTTTTGTTGTTGTTTTTCTTTTAAAGTAAGGGTCTCACTATGTATCTGGCTGACCTAGAAATTGTTAATAGACCAGACTGGCCTTAAATTAAGAGATATCTGTCTGCCTTTACCTCCTGGGATTAAAAGGGTATGCGATTACACCAGGCTTGGAAATTTCTTAATTAAAAGCTCTTCCTAACCTTGCATAGTGGTTTTTGTCTATAATCCAAGCACAGAGGCAGAATTAAGCCAGCCTAGGTATAGTAAGGGCCTATCTAAAATAGAAAAAGGCAGCCAGGTATGGTGGAACATACCTTTAATCCAAGCACTCCGAGGCAGAGGTAGGTGGATCTCTGACTTGGGCCAGTCTGGTCTACAAAGTGAGTTCCAAGAGAGCCAGAGCGGCACAGAAACTTTGTCTCAGAAAATAACACAAAACATGGCTTACAAAGCCTCAGAAAAGGTTGACTGACCCATGAACTAGATGTTAGCCTCTTATATTTTAGATTAATTCAATGAGCTAATGAGTTATAATCTTATTTCCTTAGTTTTAGGATTCCATTAAAAAAATACTGACAAGAAAAATACACAATCATTTAAATTCTGATACCACTTATAGTTCCTGAAAACTTACATGGTTCTAAGTTTTCATGACAGTCTTGTTTAATTAGCCTAGGTTAAATAATATGCATCAGCCTCCTTAATCCTGAGACTACAGGCACGCACCATCACTCTTTTAAAAAGACTTTTAAATGTGATGTAATGAGTGATTATAAGTCTGCACTTCTTGCAAAAAGGGGCACTTAATACAAGGCATTCTGCAGAAGGCACAAGAGATTGCTTGAAAGAGTAAGTATACATACCAGCCCATAAGCCATACTTCTTTCATGCTCTTGAGTTATATCTGCTACATATGCAAATACCACAGAGAATGTCACTGCAAAAACCCCAGAAACAGAGATAACAGCAAAGTACCACCTAAGAATGAAAGGCAAGCAAGAAAAAAAAATGGTTAGAACAAGCTCCATTACTTAAAATGCTTCTTCATGTCTCTTAGCTACAGTAAGAACAACTCATTTCAGCCAAGAGCTTTCTAGGACAATGCATGAATTAACACATCTATAAACCCTACACCAGTAACTATAAAAGCATATGTATGGCTAGAGATGACCCTTCATAGCAATCCAATCTCAATAGAGAATATAGCACTTAAAATTAGGCATTATGTTCTGATACTCTTTAATCTGAACCTTTGTAAAACTGCCAAAGGCTATTTCTATAAAAATAAAGCTAAAAAGTTGTATATTTCATTACTACTTCCCATCTAAGCACCATACATAAACAAAATTCATTTAAAAAAACAAAACAAAAAACTGACAAGTCACTGAATACTTGTGAGGCTATATACACAAGTCACGTATTCCTTCCTTCAGTTATTTTTAGCTCTTTAATTGCTGGCAAAACAAACTCTTTACTCTGCAGAAACCTGAATGGCAAAGACAGTTACTAGAGAATAAACCAGGGCTCGGGGGTGGCTTAGAAGTAGCTTGCTGCACAATTCAAAAAGCTGGGCACAGCGGGGAGGAGCATCTCCAAGCCCAGCACCAGAGCATAGAGACAGGAGCTCAGCAGCCAGTCAAGTCGGCACAAAGAGCATGCTCCCTAGGTTCAGTCAAAGACTCTTCCTTCAAAATCAGTGTGGAGAAATAACTGCCACTAATAGCCAATATTAATCTCTGGCTTCCACCTGAGGCCAGATGGGTGAGCATGTGCAAACACTCGCTCGCTCACTCACTCACTCACTCAAAAAGAAGGGGCAAAAGATAATTTGAGAAGTGTATTTTACTAAAAATGACTCCAAACTAGCTAGCTAAGAACAGTAAAAGCCTACTGTACTGGTGACATTTAGTTTCTTAAGTCAAGCTTAATCATTATTAATTTTCACATTATCATTCTATCAGGACTTTAGTGCTACTGAAAGTTTTCAAACATACTCCTTAACAAAATACATTTTTTGGGTTATCCCCTAGATTCCTTGGGTAAGATTTCATTTGCATCTTTAGTATACTCATTAAAGGCTTGGTTTTTAAAGCTTGCATCTAACATAAGAGAAAAGACCCTTCCACACATCCCCTAAATTTTTCTGGACACTCGTGAAATATCCATCTACACCATGGTACAGAAAGAACATTAGAGAATAAATGTACAGACACACAACTATTACCCCACTAGTTTTGGGCATTTGTTCTTTTGTATGTATGAACTTCACTTCCTTTTCTCTAAGTAAAAAGTAACACATACACCTTTTTTCTTTTTTTAAATATTTCAGAACAGAATCTGACTCTGTAGCCCTGTCCTGGAATCACTCAGTAGAAAAGGTGGTCCAGAACCCACTTGCCTCTGCCTCCTGATTGCTGGGACTACAGGAGCATATTGCCACCCTGCCTATAACCCCAATCTTTACCAGAGTAGCCAAGAATGCTCTTCTAGTAGAATCACAATGAAGTCTGACCAAAGGTCATATAGAAAGACATGGATTTAAAAGAAGGGGTCACTGGAGGCTGCATGTAAGCCAGCACTTTTAGGGAAGCTGGGCAGGTTGAGAGGTCAAAGTCTGTGCTACATAGCAGGATCTTGCTGCAAAAAAAGAGTAAAACAAACAAAACACCTCACACCCTAATGAATTTAGTAATCATACTTTTCATGGTGTCACCCAAGGCTGACATGATAGCTGGTGCTTCAGTAATACTAAGATAGCTGAGAATGGAAGAGAGGCAAAATGAAGTCTTGCTCACTGTATCCTATACAGTCAGGCTCTAGACTGTTTAACTCCAGAATCTTTTTGATATGAAAAGAAACAGATTTTGAGCAACAATCATTTTGGGCTTTATTAATAAATCGATTCCTAATGAATACAGATAGTGATGACTGCAAAATCCCCTATTTAGAAAATAGAAAGTTAGCACCTCTCTCCAATTTTTAAAATATTGTTTTCCAATTTGAGCTATGAAAAGCCTACAGTCTAGATGCTTCCAACAGCAGCATCTAATCCCAAACCCTCACAAACATTACTGTTTTCTTTTTTCCCTTGCGCCTTATCTGTGCCAAAAAATAAATATACTAAAGAATAAAATTAAAATCTATGCAGACAGTAAACTGCCCAAGCAAAAAAAGCATTAAGAAAGCAGTAACAGAAACAGTTACTTAGTTGCTATATAGAACTGAGCATATACATACCATGGGCTGATCTTCATTAGAGGAATGGGGGCACATGTGAAAAACACTGTTAGCAGCAAGAATGATTTCCGGCCCCAAACATCAGAAAGAGCACCAATAAGTGGGGCACTGAGGAATGACAACAAACCCTAGAAATTCAAATTTTTAAAAAAAGGATGGTATATATGCATGAGCCAACAATGAATCATTTTGCTGTAACAACAAAACTTTAAAGCAACTTTACTTCTAGGATAAAAAAAAATCATTTAGCTTTAAATAAACAGTAACTTATTTCCTTTCTTGTTGACATACTAGTTTAAAATTTCTTTAGGTTGGCTAGGGAAATCATCTGTTGGCCTGTCTGATTATTAAATACGAAATGCTTATGTACTTCTAACTTCAGGAACTAAACCAGCAATCCCGGAAGACCATCATAGGTTATGTTTACTGGTAAGTAGACCGTTTATAAAAAGACTGGGTTTGGGAATAAATGTTTTCCTTCTCAGCACTATCCTTATTGCTTAAATTTGTATAAAGTTCACTAAAACCTCTGGAACAAGAATTCTGATTAATGTAAGGGGCTAGAGAAATGGCTCAGTGGTTAAGAGCACTGGCTGCTCTTCCAGAGGACCAGCGTTCAATTCCTAGAACCTACATGGCAGCTCAGAATTGTCTAGGATCTGACACCCTCACACCAACATGAACACAGACAATACCAATGCACATAAAATAAAATTAAATAAATTATTTTAAAGAAGAATGATCATATAAAACAGAAAATATAAAATAATTAAACACAGTTGCCTGTATCCGAGTCAAATCTTATGTAAAAAAAGAATATCTTAAATTATACTCTAACTAGTTATAAAAACTTTACATCTCAGGGATTAGGCAATCAGCATACAAAACTATAAATACAAAAGTATGTATATATAGATATATATGTATATGTACACATATGTAGAATTGATCATACCTTTACTCCTTGAATTAAGCCATTCATCAGAAATGTATGTTTAGGGAAGGTTTCATGCAATACCTAAGACAATAAAAATGGCATATTTTAGTCTCAGTAAGATGTCTACATTAACATTTTCAACAATCCTCTCACACACACTCTCTGTTTTGTTTTTCTTTCTTTCTTTCGGTTTTTTTTTTGAGACAGAGTTTCTACGTGTAAGAGCCCTGGCTGACCTGGAACTTGTTTTGTAAACCAGGCTAGTCTTGAACTCACAGATATCCACCTGCTTCTGTCTACTAGGTGCTGGGATTAAAAGCATTTGCCTCTTCCACCCAGCTCAAACAGCCTTTCATAATACAATCTAGCTTTATTTCATGAGTTTCCAGATTAGCATGGTATAGTACAATGTTACAGATGGAACAGCTGAACTCTCGTTTGGCTCAGAAGCTGATGCCTCTTTCACTAAGAACTCTGCCTGTCTCTGTAAGGACAATGGGGAATGCCCATGAGGGGAAAAAATGCTGTTGAGTGTACTCCTGACACCTTGCAAGAACTAAATTGGCTTTCCTTTAGTTCTTCTTCCCAATAAGAAGAAACCTTAGACCGATATTCCAAACAAAGACCATGCATGTAGATAAACTAGAACCCCTGCAAAGAAGTAAAAATAACCCATGGCAGCTTAGTGTACAAGAGGGTTTCCCAATAAGAGGAACAAGGCCTGTCTCTGACATGAACTCATGGGCTCACTCTTTGATCACCTCCACCTGAGGGGGGGAACAGCCTTACCAGTCCAGGGAGGAAGACAAAGAAGCCAGTCCTGATGAGACCTGATAGACTAGGGTCAAATGGAAGGGGAGGAGGACCTCCCCTGTCATTGACTTGGGAAGGGGCATAGGAAAAGAGGGAGGGAGGGTGAGATTGGGAGGGGATGGAAGAGGGCACTACAGCTAGGATACAAAGTGAATAAACTGTAATTAATAAAAATAAAATTAAAACTTTAAAAAATAAAAAAAAGAAACCTCAGAAAACATACTCACTGTAAATAAAAATGAGAAACTTAGAAGACTGAGCTCTTCTAAGCTCTGTGATAAAACCTGTGCCTGGCATGGACAAGGAAGGTCCTGGGTGTGACACCCAGTAGAGAGATGAAAGGAAAGATGAAGGGAAAGATGAAAAATTGAAGTAAAGTATGAATTAAAGACGCTCATTCATGAGAAAAATCAAGCGTTTTCTTTGTTGTTGATGATGTTTGTTTTTAATACTCAAGATTTAAAATCAGTAGTTCCCAACCAAGGGGTCTTATTTTGTCATCACAACTTAAAGAGGAGTAGGAGGGAAGATACCACCAGCATCTAAGTCAGCAACACTGCTAAGCAACCTACTATGCACAAGGCAGCTCTCTGTACTTTGTTGGAGATAATAATAACCTGGCTTCTACATAGCAAAGTCATAGCTGGAGGATGCAGAGCACTTGCAAGCATGCAAGCAGCCCTACACCAAAGCACTGACAGCAAAGCAAAGCAAGCAGTCTAGATTGAGGTATCTGTTTCTCTCCTTTTTTAAAAAATGATTTTAATTTATGTGTTTCTCACATGCTTGTTGGTACCTATGGAGGCCAGAAGAGAATATTAGATCCCCTGAAGCTGGAATTGCAGATGGTTTTGAACTGTCCAACAGAAGCGCTGGGAAGCAAGGGAGGGTCCTCTGGATGAAGAGGATACTCTTAACCACTATAAGAGTGGTTATATCCAGCTTCTGAGACATTTGTCTATTAGTTATAATAAAGACCCAAGGAACTGAAGCAGGGATTCCACTCAAATCCTCAAGGTGTTGTACTTCAGCCCTTAAACTGCTTTATCAGTACTGGGAATACAGTTCAAAGGCAGAGAGAGCACTCACCTAGCTTGGGTGAAGAAGTCCTAGACTCATTTTTTCAATTTTACTAAAACAGGCTTTAATTTAAGGCCTAGAAATTTTGGAAACATCACTGAACAGATAACATATATTCTAACTAGCTGTCTCTATTTGACTTACTGTCTTAATGGCAGAGATAAAGGCCACCAAGAGGTTACACATTTCTATCATGCCTAGATGGGTGGGTAAGATATCAGGAGAACCTTTCCATCAGACTTAACACATTTCCATATAGTAACGTACTGTAATTCCAGCTCCTCTGTGAGCTGCGGTAGGAGGGTTACAGAGTTCCAGGTAAGCCTGGGCAACATAGTGATAATCCTTCAAGAGTAAGAGTGAGATACATATAAACTTATACTCTGAATAATTAATTATACACTTTAGATAAATTAGCTGTTGTTTTTAAAAAGGACCTCAATCAAAAAAGTATTCAAATTGGCATTCTTATAACTCATACTATTGAGAACTATTCTAACTAAATAAATGACAGTTTATTATAAACAAAACCCACTTATTTGAGGATGATTATGGTCTATGTATGCAGAGTAACGTTCTTAAACATAAATATTTTATATACAAAAAGCAATGGTTATATAGATGTAGATAAATCTGCTAAGCAATATGGATTATCAACATTTTTTGACTCTTGGGATATACTTATGTAGCCATTTAACTTTTTATGAACACACTTTCAAGTTTCATGAGTACAAAGTGATCAAGTGCATGACCATACATACAAGTAAGCAACTGTTTTCAAATTCTCTTCTCCAGGCTGGAGAGTGGCTAATGATTCAGAACACTCACTAGCTGCAATTCCAGAGGCTCACAACCATCTGTAAACCACTTCTAGGATCTCTAATCCCTCTGTGCGGGCACCAGGCAGGCAAATTATCCATACATATAATGTTTAAAATAAAAATTTTAGTCTGAGATTCTGTAACCTACACACTTTAAACTAACTAATTACTCCTTTCCAGATACAGACTCTTTCACAGATGGGAATCTCATTCTATTTCCTTTTTCTGCACTGACAGGAAGAAATTAACCATCACCCAAGCTGTAAACAGTCTTCTATGATTCCAAATCTAGGAAAATGTAGGTAGATCTTGAGCAAAAACAAAACAAACAAAAAAAAAAAAAACAAAAAACAAAAAAAATAAAAAAATAAAAAAACCAACCAAACAAACAAAAACCTTGTCTTAGGAAAACAGAGCTACACAATTTACTTCAAAATAATTATGTTGAGTAATACGGGCCCTACATTTCACCCTCCCTAACCCATCAGTATAAACCCTTCCTATCTACTTAAGAGCAGTGATTAAGTCTCTGCTTGGACACATCCAGTGAAATGACAGGTCCATACACACACCTGTATCCCCAGGTAAGGGGTACTTATGGGTTGGAAGAGGTAGCGAAAGCAATAAATACAGGTCACTTGACAAGTTAGTATTGGTTAACCATGGAAAGGAAAACAGGCCATCTTTTCTGGTATGTACATTAAGATTACTTACCACCAGTGTGGGTGCTGTCAGTAGTCCCCAAGCAAAAAACTCCAAAAAGATGACAATAACCGCATGATAAACACTAGGGGAGCCTATTCCTTGAGGCTGTAGAAAGACATATTTTCATAAGTTAAAAAAGTAGCAGTTCGCTCCTGAATAGCCCACAATGATGACAATATTCAACACTTACTGATTAAGAACTACAGGCACACACTATCTAACAATGGGTATAGTTAGTCTAAACTGCTGTTTGGACTGTTTAACTATTTTAATATTTCAGATGAGAATTTGTGTGCAAACAAATGTCTCAGGCATTTTGTCACAGGAGAGACAAGCTAACACACACACAGCTTATGAAGAAACTCCAGGGCCTGGAGAGACAGCTCAGGGATTAGCAGCACTTAGTAGTCTTCCTGGTGTCTGGGTTTGATTCCCAGCATCCACATGCTTGTTAACAACTACCTGTATCTCCAGTTCTAGGAGATCCCATGTCCTCTTCTGGCTCCTTCAGGCACCAGGCACACACGTGGTACAAACACACATACAGGCAAAACACCCATACATAAAATAAAAATAAATAAATCTTTAAAAAAGTAAATGGGTAGGGGGAAGCAACTCTTCCAGAGTCCAAGTGGACATACAATGAATGAATGCCACACCACAGTATATCATTTTAGGCATAGGAATTAAATACTGTTTTTTAATCCTAAGGCCTAACAGAGTGGCTGGGCTATAATATCTAACGCCTATAAACCTGATCTCTACTCACAATAGTCATGTGGTTGCTAGGTGACTTAAGGTAGCCTATACACAGTCCTAGACTAACAATGGCTCAACTTAACAGTTTTTAACTTCACAACAGAACAAAGGCAATACATACACAATTCAGAAGAAACCAGACTTCAATTTTTGATTTCTTTCCAGGGTTTGTGATATACAGCATGACACTGGGCAGTAGCTGCAAGCCACAGTTCCCCAGTCAGCAACGTAATCAAGTGCTAACAACAAAAGTTCAATAGTACACTAAGATGCTGGTACACTGGATGATACCGCCTCAAAGAGTTGGCTCCAGATCTCAACAGTGTGCTATGAACTGCAGGGCTTTCTCCTCTCAGAAAAGTAATGGTTTAATTATGAAAAAAAAAAACAAAAACAAAAAAAAACAAAACAAAACAACAACAACAAAAAAACCCAACTTGAGTAAGTGTCTGATTTGTATAGTTTATATACTTGTGTATCCATGGCTGCATTAAAATCCCCCACGAGAACAGAATTTCCACTGAAAAAGTTTAAGGAGCACTCATCCCATTCTTAGTGAGAAAGATGTGGCTATCGCACCACACAAAGCAGCAGTGTTACATTCTACTGATGGCCACAAACTGAATCCATTAAAAAACATAGAACTAAAATCTACCAACAGCTAACTAAATCCAAACTGTCAACAATACGGCACCTAACTTCAGGACTGGTCTTAGTGTCATAATGTCTAACTCATTATTTTAAAACAATCTCTAACAACCACAAAAACTTCACATAATGAATTTTCTAACTGCTTTTCTACCTTAAGAAAGGATAAGCAATGCCATCTGCTTTCAGAAAGACAAAACCAGCCCAGCATGTCTGCTCAAGCCTTTAAGCCCAGTTTTCAGGAAGGCAGAGGCAGGAGGATCACTGTGAGTTCTAGGCCAGCCTGCTCTACAAATCGAGTCCAGGACAGCCAAGACTACACAGAGGAAGCCTGCCTTGAAAAACAAAACAAAACAAAACAAACAAGAATCTCGATGTTCCCCAACTAAAACACCAACTCTTCAGTTCTGGAGGATGAGCATCAGTCCCAGGGACCTGCACGTGCTGGGCACACATGCTCTACCATCAACCCTTGAATCTCAGTCTTGCTGACAAACTAAAACAATGCTAGTGACAATTGGTGCTTTTAAATAACTGAAAAGTTTAAATCATATGTACTTGTCAGAATATTACTTCAGAAAAAAAAATATTTGTTGTATTTAAACTTCAAACTTCCGGCAACTCCAAACAAGTTACACTATAATAATCTGCAACTTTTGGCAGCCAGTTTGATTTAAATTGGTAAGCAGTCCTCCTGATTATATTTGTTTGAACAAAATCAGCATTTAAATTGCACAGTAACTTCATGCCTACAAAGTCTAAATAAATAAACGAGTACTTTAAAAATCTAACAAAAATTAAATTTCAGTAAAATATAACCCATGTGAATAGCTGTGTAGCCACACCCTTTAACCCTACTTTTATAGTTAATTTATATTACATGTGGTTGCTGAGAACTGAACTCAGGACCTCTTGAACAGCAGCAAGTACTCCTTAGCCATCTTATTTCTCCAGCCCCCAGTTTGACTTCCTAACCTTAGAAACTAACATGCTCACCATGTTTTCATATGAAATAAAACTGAAGAGCTAATTTTTTACTGCTACGTACAGATCCTTCAGAAGCAAATTCACCAATGCCATCACTACCTTCATAAATAAAATGGCAGACAGTAGATTACAGACAAAATAATTTAACATATAGTAACTTACTCTACCAGTTACTTATGCTGTTCTCAAACAGGCCCATTCTTAAATCTGAGAAAGAATAATAAATGGGGAAAAAAACTCAAAAACATTTCTACTAAAACTGGGAACAAGAAAAAGGTGTCTACTTCCTTCACTTATTCAAAATAGTACTTGAAGTCTTAGTTAGAGCATTAATATAAACAAAAGGGATATAAACAGGATAGGAAAACTCAAATATTTCTATTTGCAGATTATATGATTCTTTAAATTAGTGCCCAAAGACAAAACTCTCAGTGCCAATAAACACTTTCATTACCATATAAAAATTAGTAGCCTTCCTATCCATAAATAACAAATATTCTAAGAAAGAAGAAAAATAACCCCATTCACAATTGTCTCAAAATAGGTAAATAAATATCTAGGGGCCCGAGAGCTGACTCAGCAAGTTAAGACCACTAGCTGCTCTTGCAGGGGAGGGATCCCAGGGCCCACACAGTGGCTCACGCCACCTGGAGCTCCAATCTCAGGAGATCCCATGCTCTCTTCTGGTCTCCAAGGATACTAGGCACAAATGTGGTAAAATAGCCACACACACAAAAATAAACAAATGCCTCGGAATAAACATAACTAAAGAAGTAAAGGAAATCTATACTGAAACTGGAAAACTCTGAAGAAAGTAATCAGAAGACACTAGAAAACAGAATGATGCCTCATGTTCATGAATTGGAAGTTAATTAATATTGGGAAAACGACCATCCTACAAATTCAGTGAAATCCCCATTAAAATTCTAATGCCATTCCTTAAAGTAGAAAATGAAAGGAAAAAATAGATTAAAAAATATTAAAAGCAATCCTTAGCAGAAAGGCCAATGCTAGGGCATAACAATACCTGATCTTAAAATATATGACAGAGACACAGTAACAAAAACAGCACAGTACTGGCACAAAACAGTCATGAAGTTAAATAGAGAAAAAAAAAAAATTCCACAGAAAATAAACCCAAACAGTTACAGCCACCTAATTTTTGACAGACGCATAAAAACACGTATTTGAGAAAGGAGAGCCTGTTTTAACCTCTCTTTTGGTGTTGGATCGCCAAATCTAGAAGAATGAAATTAGATCACTGGTTTTCACCCTGCACAAAAATCTACTGAAAATGGATCAAAGACCTGAACCACTGAACCCGAGGTATAGGCAAAGATTTTCTTAAAAAGACACCAATAATAGCACAGGGGTAGAAAAATGTCAAGAATCGACATGTGGGATTACATGAAATTAAGAAGCTTCTGTATAGCAAGAGTGAACACAGCCTAGAGAATGGGAGAACATTTTTACTATCACCTGACAGATGAGTAATAGGTATAATATACAAAGAATTAAAAAAAAATAAACAGTAGATTAAACAGCCCAATCAATATATTACTGGGCAAATGAAATGAAGTCAATGTCAAAAGATGAAGTCCAGCAAACACATGAAAAATGTTCCATCTCACAAGAGAAATACAAATTTAAACTACAATGAAATTCACCTCACTTAAATAAAGGCGACAGTCATTAAATGGGAAAAAAAGGTAAGAATGCTGGCTAAGAAGCCACTAAAATAGAGTCCTTGTGAACAGGTGGGAATATAAGGTACTCCAACCACTATGGATATCATCAGTTTGGAGGTTTCTCAAAACACTAAAAATAGATCTGCCACAAGGCTAGGGTCTACCACTCCTTGGTACCACCCAAAGAAGCCCAAATGAACACATCACAGATACTTAGACATCAGCGCTTATTGCAACATTATTCACATTAGTTAACTTATGGGAGCCTAGATATCCCTTAACCGAAAAGTGAATGGAGATAACATTACAAAGCTAGGAGTAGTGCCACACTCCTTTAATCCTAGCACTTAGAAGGCAGTCAGGTGGATCTCTGAGTTTGAAGACACCCTAGTCTACCTAGGAAGTTCCAAAAAGACAGCCAGGGCTACACATGAGAAACTCTGTCTTAAAAAACTTGTAACAAAACAAAACAGAAACAACAAAGCAACTAATATGGTTTGTATAAAAAAAGGTACAACTGGAGCCATTAAGTAAATTAAATGAGCCTGAAAACCACCTTTTCTTTCATTAATTTTATAGATACACAAAAACATGGATGCGTGTATGACATGAATGTAGAATGAAACTGTCTAGTGGACCAAAGACTTGGGAGATGGCAAAAAAGGGAAGGTAGGGAGTATGGGGAACAATTTATCAAAAGCCTTTATGTAACACAGTACTATGTGTAATGCACACAAGGCAATAAATATTGTTAACAAGGTAAAGTCGTATGTCTAAATAAAAAATAACCAGTCTTAATGTATTCCACATAAACAAAAGAATGATTTATTTACTTCTGTATTTGTGTGATAATCTTTTGCTTTCTATTCATAGATTGACACATTGCATATTAATATATATTTCACACATATTTTATATACTTAAGAATGCTACATTTGTATAAATATATCCCTAATATAAGTACTATAAGTACTAAATAAATCTTCCCTTAGCCCTAAAAATCTTAAGTTAATGACTTAAAAAAATCAGGGAGGGCTATAAAATCTGCTAAGAAAAATACACCAAGAAATTTTACAAAAAAACTTCAGAGTAAACTGTTCCAGTTTAACTCCTGACAGACACTGGGGACTGTGACTTGACCACCAAGCACTTGCTTAGCATTTGTGAAAACTTGGGTTCATTTCCAGCAACCACAACAAAACTTCTCACACATACCATCACAGAATTTAATGTGATTTACCTTTGTTCTACACTGCTTAAAGTTGCAAGAAGTTAGTCTTATCCAGACCTCAGAGCATACTGAATACAATTTCAAGGGGAAGTAAATTAGTAACAGTCCATTAGGGTAGACTTAATGGGAGAGCACTTGTCTAGCATGTGTGAGGTCACCAGTTCAATACCCAGCACAAGTAAGTTGTGACTAACACTGTTCATTCAGAAGGTTCATTTTTCAACTGTTAACATCTACTCTAATTTCTGCCAAATCACTAGAAAATACTGGTTTCAGCAATATTAAAAATGGTTGAACAAACTTTGAACATTAACCCTAAAAAGAAAAGAGACTCAGATTAATCAATACTCAACTATGGCAAATACTGTTAAAAGACTGTCACAGACTGACCACTGTCTCAAAAACACCTGCCTCTGAATGACTCCAATGGCATAAGATCTTTAAAGGTTGAAACTGTAACCTCAATAGCCCTACAACAATCCACAAAACACACAGTAGGAAAACCAGTTAATTTTTCCCTTTAAAAAAGAGGTGGGTTGGAGAAATGGCCCAGTGGTTAAGATCACTGCTAGCAACTTTTTCAGAGAACCCTGGTTTGATTTCCAGCACCCACATGGTGGCTAACCACCAACTGTAACTCCAGTTTCAGGGATCTGATGTCCTCTTCTGGCCTCCAAAGTAACTGCACCCACACAGTGAGACATACATGCAGGCAAACCACATATACACGTAACAATCAGAATGTTCACTACGTAGCCTAATTTACATGTAGAGAGGCAGAAAAGCAATTCCATCTTTAAAACTAAACTCTTTCATACATACATACACACACACACAGTTATCCATCCATCCATCTACCTACATACTAGAGGCCCAGTGAGATTCAATGATGAAAACAAAGCTCTGATTTGTTAACTGGAGAGATGGCTTAGCTATTATAAGCACTTGCTGCTCTTGCAGAGGATTGTTGTGCAGTTCCCAGCACTCACATGGCAACTCATAACCATCTGTAACTCAATATCCAGAGGATGTGATCCCCTTCTTTTGATCTCCTCAGGCACCAGGCAAGCATGTTGAACACATACATACTTCAGGAAAAAAAACACTACTAATATAATATATACTTTAAAAATACATATTTAATATTAGTTATATATATCCTCTACATATAATATTATATATGCACACACATATATATATATCTGTACAGGATATATATATTGGTTTTTCGAGACAGGGTTTCTCCGTGTAGCTTTTCTGTCTCTGTAGATGAGACTGGCCTCGGACTCACAGAGATTCCCCGACTCTGCCTCCTCAGTAATGGGATTAATACTCAGCTCATAAATAATCTTAGAAAAAAAAAAAAAAGGGGGAAGGGAAAGGAAAACAAGGTATAGTAAGAAGGGAAAGGACTATACTCTAAGCCCTCAGCCCCCATGAAAAATTTTCATTGATTTAGTATACCATAAAGGCATTTTTACTATTAAAAAGCTACAAATTGGCTGTATCTTTATAAATAGCAGAAAGACAAATAAACCTCTTCCTGGCAAGTGAAGGAGCACACCCCTATAATCCCAGCACTTGGATCGAAGAAGTGGCAAGCTCTAAGTTTGAAGTCATTCTGGGCTACATGAGACCTTTTCTCAATAAAATCCAAGTATCTCTTCTAAAAGTCAGAATTTGGAATGAATCTTCTGTAGGGCTGACACAGGCTGTAAATGTGATCCCCATTATCTCATTAAAAAAAAAAAAAATCTCCGACAAAACAAACCAAACAAAAATCCAAGAGGGCGTAAAACTACAATTTAAAAGGTGCATTTAAAAATCAGTTTTAATTCTTGTCTATTGCAGAGAATACTTATCTTAAATATCACCTGGTTGTAAAGTATGTTGTCTTTTCATACCTGACAATATCCTTTCCTCCCAATATGGTTCCTACCAACTTGGTCAAAACAGCTGATGTGAATTCATCAGATCAAAGTGATACTTCAATCAGGCACAGTGGAAAAAAAACAAAGACATGGAGACTTTCTTTTTTTCAATAAATGTTAAAGCTATGATAACTAATAAATCTGGCAGTTAACTGAACATATTCTGAAGTCGTTCCATATGTCCCAAGTTTTCTAAATTCTGGCAGTTGGAGTAGGCCATGTTCTGAGATGTCAAAAGAAAGTTGTCATTTATTTCAAACTAAACTCAGCAAATGCACTGTGGTAGCCTAGTTACAGATTTAGTGCTTTGCTAGCATTGATCAAGACTCTACTAACTTACAAACAAATGAAAAGGAACTATGTATGCAACTTCACGGCAAAGAGACACCTCTTACTTTTTTTTATTCCATTTCCGAACGTGATACCAAAGGATTCAGCGAAGATCAGAGTGTAACAGTAGGAAAATCTCAGCACAAGAAAAAGCGTCCGTTCCTCCCCTGACAAATCCTCTGTCCACTTCTGGTAACCCAATGCACACTGCATAAAGTTTACTGCGAATAACGATGGTCTAAAAGGCACATTTTTTAGGCTCAGCCCCCTTGCTAGGGTCTTTTCCTCATCCTCCCGCCATGGCCAATTCTAATGATTGTTATTTTGAGGCACAAGGTGGTGGTTTTTCTAAAGAAGATGTGTAGGCCCCAGGTAGTAAGCTCAGGCTTCCGAAGCCGGAAGGGGTTTGGCGAGCACAAACCCCCAGAGGATGACCGAGCCCCGAGCGGCTCAGACCGCCGCGGACAACGCACGTACCCTGGCCCAGCGGGCCGCGGCGGCGAGCCCAAGGCTGCCCGGCCTCCCCGCGCGCCGCGCTGGGCCTGGCGAGGCTGCCGAGGGGCCGGCGCCTCTTCCCCGCGGCCGGGAGCACGTGGGCCGAGGCCGCAGGCTCCCGGGACGCAGCACCCGGCGGTGGGTGCGGGCGGCTTCCGCGGGAGCCAGGCCGCGGAGGCCGCAGGCCGAGGCTGCCGCAGCGCCGGCAGTGCGGGAGGGCAGGGCACTCCCCGCCCGGGCGGAGGCGGAAGCGGAGGGAAGAGCGAGCTGGGCCCGCTCCGGGGCCGCTCTGCGGCGCGGAACCGGGACTCACCGTGCCTCCGTCCTTAATGATGATCTTCTTGGCCAGCATGATACTGCGGTTCGCGGCCCGTTTCTTTTTCTTCCCCTGGGTCATTTTACCATCCTCGACTCCCGGCGCTGCAGCAGCCACTCAAGGGGCGGGCGGCCCCAGCGGCGAGTGCGGTCCCGCCACTACTGCCGGGCCGAGCCGCTCCGGGCGCACGCCGCCATCTTGAGGGCCCGGCCTGCCTCCGGCGGCGCGTCACATCGTGTGATCGGCTGAGTCGCCTGCCACGCCCCCACGACGCAGCCACACCCCCTCGGTGCGGCCACGCCCCTTGAGGTCTGCACTAGCCCAGGGAAGGGAGGTGCCCCGGGACTGGGTGGAGCCACGTGCCTGGGCCGTGGGTATAACTGTTTCTCCTTGTTAGATGAAGTAAAGTTTCAAAAAGTTATTACCTACTCAAACCTGACAAATACTTTCTCAGACGCTCTAACCAAACGTTCCAAGGTACCAGCATCTACGTCAACCGCGTTCCCACCAAAACACAACCGAACGGGCAACCGTTTTCCAGGAATGGTCAGTAGAAGGTAGAGATTTTTTAGCTGTTGACCTGATCCTCAGCTAGTTCATGCTGGCTTAGATACCTCCTGGTTCCAGGACATTTTATTCTCTGCCAGTCTAAACGAGATATGTCACACTTCATAGACTTTTAAAAAATGTTTGACTAGAAGACTGCTAGAAAGAGCAGACACAAGTAGACTATAAATTATGAAGTATTACCACAGCGCTGATATTTATTTTGAGGCAGGAGCGCATTATGCAGATCAGGCTGGCCTCAAACCCAGAGATCTGCTTGACTGCCTTCCATGCTGCGATCAAAGGCATGTGCCATCATGCCCTGCAAAATTTTTATAACAAATTTTTGGTAACAAATTGTGTTGAAAACCTTTCTGTTAAACATACCTTCAGTGTTAGGTAGTTAAAGAGCACAACACATGCTATCTACTCTCATACTTTGATGCTTTGAAGCTAGTGACAAACCAAAATGTACAGTGGGCCTGAATGTGGTGGTTCTAAGTAAGGTATGGTCACAAACTCAGCGATATTCCTCCCTGGAAGAAGTGGATTGGGCTCTCTCTCCTGGCTTGTGGCCTGGCTACTGATGCCCTTCTGTTTTAACAGGGAAAAGCAGAAGTGACAGCACTGACTTCAGAGGCTAGGTCATAAAAGACACTGCATGGTTTTGCTAGGCTTTTCCTTCACTCCAGTCCGGGTGTCACTTGTTTTGCCATGATCCTAGAGGAACTAAGGAGAGGTCCAGCTGTTGAGGAGCTGAAACTTCCTACAAAGCTTGTGGATGATCTTGGAAGTAGAGCCTCTAGGCCTGCTCAAGCCTGCAGACAGCCTGACTACAAAACTTCAAGACCTTTAGTTAGGACTACCCAGCTTAGCCACAGTGCAGGGCTGGGAAGGTAGTCTGTGGAGGAATTTTAATTCAGAACATGCCTGCTCTGGCAAAAGATCACATCCAAAGACCTAGTCTGTGTGATCCGGCTAGAATACAAACACACCTTTAATCCAGGAGACAGAGGCAAGCAGATCTGAGTTCAAGGCCAGCCTGGTAAAGAGCAACTATCAGGTAAAGAAAAGTTTAGGTCCAGGCGTGGTGGTACATGCCTTTAATCTCAAACAATGAAGGTAAAGTTAGTTTATAGAAGCAAGCACCCAAGTTTGAAAGTGTTGCCTGAGTGGCAGAAAAAATGATGAATCAGAGAAAGATATGAAAGAACAGTAGATGCCCGACTCTCACACGAACAGAGAGGAAAGGGAAGCTACTTAAGGGGCTATGCAGAGAGGCGGGGCAGTTTTATGGAAAAGTTTTACAAAGAGGTTGAATGAGAAAACAAGCTAGACACACATGAACACAGAACAAGTCAGACAATGCAGAGAACGATGAGCTAGAAAATTAGAAAAGATTGCTGAAGTTAATTTGAGGCCAAGCAGAGTAATTCAGATGCCAAGGGAAAAGCCACACTGAATAAGTCAGCTGGGAGAGGAGTTTGAGCTACAACAGCTGAATTGAACCAGTCAGCTATGAGCTCAGAACAAGAAAGGATGAACTTATTAAGCAGTAAGTCTCAGAGGCTGGAAACATCTGGGCCTAGATTAGATTATACAGAGGCCAGATGCTTCCTGGACTAGGCCCTAGGTTAACAGGAGGAGGCAGTAAGCCTCTAAGATGCAATTGACAAAGGCGAATAAACATTCCTTTTACAGTACTCTTTTGGAGTGCTTGTCATTATAGGCACTGAGCTGCAGATTTTATCTCCAACAACAAATAAACCCAGCATAGAAGTGTATGCCCAAGTCCTGGCACTCAGGAGAATAAAAAATTCAAGGACAAATCTGAGAACAGACTGAGATATGAACTCCTGTCTTAAAAATGCTCAAGGGGGTAGATTTCTCAGGCCTCCAAACATTGGGGTTATTTGTTACATGGCTTAAATAACTAATAGACAAGGTAAAGGAGAAAGTCTGGGGAGTACATGAGTGTATGAATTATTGCAGCTTTTCTGTAAATTTCAAGTTTCAAAATAAAATGTTAAAAATAAACCTGGTTGGATGTTCTGTTCCTTCTACTTCCATACTGACAAGAAATGAAAAATAAACTGATTTTTATGGCTGGGAGAAGAAAAGCATCTTGGCTGATAAATAAGATTTTTCATCATACTTACTTTAAAGATAAAATTCTCATATAGAAACTTCCTTGAAGTCCAACTTGCAGCTGTTGAGAGTGGAATAGACTTCATAACTAAATCACAGGAATTTCTTTTGAGTGGGTTGAGAAGATCATTTGCTGTAAGCTAGATGTGGTGGTGCACACCTGTGATCTGGCATTTGTGATGTAGAAACAAACTGATCAGGAGCTCAAGGCCAGCTTCTAGAGCAAGTTCAATGGTAGCCATGAGCTACATGAGAGCCAGACTGAAAAAAAAAAGATTACTCTAACTTTTCATAACCTCTTAAATTCATACTTCAGCTACACCAAAGTTACTTTTAAGACATGATTTTTGGTCAGTTATTCAAAGCTATTTGACTACATATAACATTGCTTGTCATTTTTTTTTTAAAGACTAGGGTTGCAAAACAGTGTATGTTTATGTTCCTATCCTATAACACAAGTAAAAATAACACAAAAGAAAATCTGACAAGATAGAAGGGGAATGAAAGTATTCACTGAATGTAGGCACATGGACAATCAGGTAAGAGTCAAAGCTGAGAGAAGCTGAAGTTTAAACAAACAACAACAAAAAGAATCCTGTAAGCAAAGCAAATTAAGTATAGAGGTAATCACTAAGATCAAACAGACCTCAGAAAAGAAAGCCTTGTAGAACAGAGAACATGAGAGACAGGGCAGGAAAAGAACCACAGTAAACATAGTGACACATATGTCTGCCTTTCAGAAGGAAACAACCATAGCTTATGGAAATCCTTCCCCACAGAAGGCGCTTTAGGATGAAGCGGGGCAGACAATGGAGACTAAGCAGACTCCTCTGTGAACAATGGTTTCAACTTTTCAATCAGGTAAAAAGTGGCTTATAGAGTCAATAATAAAAGCTTAAATTTACAAAACTGGATACAAATAAAAACTAGTGAACCTATTTCTGTTACACTAATAACCATGGGGAGAAGACCTGAATTCTATTAACTCCCCCCCCACACACACTAACCCCGACTGGGTTACACTGTGTAGGTCTACCTGGACTGGAATTCAAGAAGATCCTCCTGCCTGTCTACTGAGTCCTGGGATCAAAAGTGTGTGCCACCATGCCTACCCTTACCATAACTTTTAAATATATGCTTTAAATATACACCTTTAGTGTGCAGGCTTATTTTGATAATAAGCAAAAATACAAATAATTTTTTAACTTTACACTGTATGTTTGTCATTAGAATATTGGTATTGTAGCATTTAAATTCATAATAAAACACAAGTTAATATTAGGAGCCAAATTGTTTGACTGTAAAAGGACAGTCAGATATAACAAAAACCATGATATTAAACTTTACTACTACTTGTAGAGGAAAAGCTCTTCTGTCTGTATGGAAGCATCATCTAATGACCTATAGCTGAGGCGGGAAATAGGAGGTGGGACATCCCACAGGCAGAAAGAAACGGTTCTGGTTAGAGCCAGGTGCAGGAGATTCACCCCAGGAAGATGTTGAGGACAGACACATGGAACCTGAGCAGAAGTAACCAGCCACATGGCAGAATGTAGATCAGAATAAATGGGTTATTTTATGTTATGAGCTAGTCAGAGAAGAGTCTAGCTATATGGCCAAGGTATTTGCAAAAATGTTTTGAGTTTCATGAGCCATTATTCTGGGAGATTGTGGCTAGGAGAAAAAAGCACACCAATAGCCTGTAATCCCAGCATTCAGGAGGCTGAGGCAGGACTAAAGCCTATATAGGTTCCTCTGAGAGTGCTAGGCTAGCCTAGGCTACAATGTATCTTTTCTAAAAATAAAAGCAAAGAAACTCCACCCCACACATTGAACTAGAAATACTGATTTGTAGAGGAATTTTAATCCAGCAACATGGCTACTCTGGCTGAAATACAGGCGTCTTTAATCCCATAGACAGAGGCAAGCAGATCGCTGAGTTCAAGGCCAGCCTGGTATAGAGCAAGTTTCAGGTAAAGAAAAGCTTAGGTTCATGAATTTTAATCCCAGCCCTAATGAGACAGATACATGCAGATCTCTGAGTTCTAGGCAGTTCAGTTCAGGAGTTCTGTTGAGTCAGTGAGTTGGGAGGTAGTGCAGTGGAGTTGAGTTTGTGGCAGTTTGAGTCATGGGATTCAGAGGCAGTTTTTAGTTTTTTTTCTGGGGGAGTTTTACAGAGACAGGTTACAGACAGAAAGAGGGAAAAGGAAAGGGACAGGAAGAGAAAGGGAAGGAGGGAGGAAAGGAGGAGAAACAAACTACACACAGGTGAAGACAGAATAAGCCAGAGAATGAGGAGCTAGAAGATGAAAATAGATTGCTAGGAATTACCTTGAGGCCAACCAGAGCAATTCAGTCAGAAGCTCAGAGAAGGCAGATCGAATCAGTCATCTTCAAGAGGAGTTTGAGCCAGAACAACTGAGTTGAAATAGCCATCCAGAGTTCAGAAAGAACAAGAGCTGATTTGGCAGTAAATCCCAGAGGCTGCAAACATCCTAGGCCTAGATTAGAATGTATGGAGGCTAAAAGCTTCCAGGACTGGGCCTAGGTTAGATGGGGGCAGTAAGCCTCTGAGATGTCAATTAAAGCAGGAGAATAAAGGATACTTTAACGCTGACTGAAATTCATAGTCTTAAAAAAAAGATGGTAGGGGACTGCAGAAATGGCTTAACAGTTAAGAGCACTGATACTTGCTGCCAAAGCTGATGAACTGAATTTGATACTAGAACCCAAATTTAGACCCACAAATTGTCCTCTGACATTCACATGGCCATCACAGTACCTCCAACACCACACACACACATACAGACACAAACACAATATGTTTTAAGGGGCTGAAGAGATGGCTCAGTGGCTAAGAGCACTGGATGTTCTTCTAAATTCCAAGAAATCACATTATAGCTCACAACTATCTCTAACTTCAGTTCCACAAGGTCCAATACCTTCTTTTGGCCACCTTGCACATGAGGTATGAAAGTAGTGCACAGATATACAGGCAGGCATACAGATAAAATAAAACTTAAAATGTAATTTTAAAAATTCTTTAAATGTTCTGCCAGGTGTGGTGGGAAAAGCCCAGTGCCTTGGAGATTAAGGGAATAAGAAACATTTGAAGTCAGCCTTAGCCTTATACCAAGCTTTAAAACAATCCAGACTAGATCACGATTCACTATCTCAAAACTAAAATCAACAACCAAAGGAATTCTTTAACAATACCATCTTTGTGAGTTCAGACACTGGCACAGTCCATCATAGCACAATTAAAACTACTGAAGTGGCAAATGTCACATAAAATCAAAATATCTAACACAAAATCAAATTTAGCTGATAAGAAAAATGGAAACAACATAAATATATAGAAAATGAAACTTTCAAAGAGATAAAAAGGGAGGGAAGAAAAGAAAAAAGAGGGAAATAGAAGAAAAGGGGAGGGAGATGAGACAGGGTGTCATTGTGAAATGCAGGGTCACTCTCAGACTTGCTTGTAGCCTATACTGGCCTCAAATAAGCCCATTGCCTTGGCCTCTGGAGAACTTGAATACAGTGCTGTGGCAGCACATCTAGCTTGTGATCTGCTTATAGCAAAAAAAGACTTTTTTTTTTTATCTTAAAGAGTTCTTATTATTATTTTGTTGTTGTTGTTTCAAGACAGGGTTTCTCTGTGTAGTCTGGGCTGTCCTGGACTTGCTTTGTTGACTAGGCTGGCTTCAAACTCACAGAAATCCACCTGCCTCTGCCTCCTTGAGTGCTGGGATTACAGGCATGCACCCCTGTGTGGCTCTCTCTCTCTCTTTTTATTTTTTGATAGGGTCTCACTATATAGCCCTGGTTGTGCTATAACTCCCTAGGTAGACCAGCAAGGTCTCAAACCCAAGAGATCTGCCTGCGACTCCCAAGTGCTAGGATTAAAAGTGTGCCACCATGCCTGGCAAACTTCTATTTTTATTTATCCCTTTTTAAAAATTTACTTATTTGAGCCAGGGTTGCACTACGTAAAGCAGGCTGCCCTCAAACTCACTGAGCTCCACTTGCCTCTCAAGTCCTGGAAATGAAGGCCTGTCACCACACTTGGCTTTTATTACTGTAAATTATATGTAGGCATGTGTGCCTGCATGTGGGTACCCGCACATAAGTACAAGGGCTGGTAGAGAACATGGTCGTAAGCCACCTAATGAGGGTGCTGGGAACAAAAGGTGGGTCCTCTGTGAGAGCATAAGTGCTCCTAACCATTGAGCTATTTCTCTAGTTTAGAAAGAAGTATGTGAACACAGAAAGTAACAGTCAAGATTTTCACTTAGCACTTTTCATGAGAACTTACCAAACAAAACAAAACAAAAGAACAAACACACTTGGTTTTTTAAAATACTGAGATTTTTATCCTGTCTGGACTCTGAAAGCATCTGTGCAGCTACATCAGAGTGGAAGTGGGATAATGTGCACGCTGCTACTTAACGTAGCCTCCTACCGCACGGTGTCACACAGAAGCAATTCCACAGGCAGTGACGGAAAGATCCTGAGTAATACTGAACCTGCCAGCAGCAAACAAATATTTTATTTCAAACAAAATATTTTCGGGCTGTGATCACTATATAGGCAGAGAAATTCTAACCACTTGAAATAAAAGCTTGTCTCTAGCTAAAACAAAGAAAAGTTACCAAGAGATGAAGATGAGCAATTCATTCCTGAAATATAAAAATAAGAAACACAATACCCAGATTAAATCAGACACAGGTAAAAAGAGAAAGTAGAAATATAAGAAAAGTTATTTATGAAAATAAGCTATTTCCCTTATCTATTAAATAGAGATAATAATGGATACCAAAAAAAGACATGAAAAATTTATCGTTTAAAAAGCCACTTAATAATGACAGTTTATACATTCCTTTGAATTACATATTCATAAAAATTTAAACATACAAATCATATTCCCAAGCCCCAAAGAATCACTTTATGTAAATGAAATACAGACATATCAATTTAGGGTCAAAATCATTTAAAAATATTGTTTTAAATCACAACAAATTGTGTCTTACAAAAGAAAAAACATTTATATACAGATGTTAAAGTCTCAAACCTGAATCATGGTGCAGGTGCCACAAGTTACTTAAGCAAGTGCTGTTCATAGATGCTTTGATAGCATCTTCGATACTTAGTATCAGGGTGTTAGACAGTAGATTGAAAAAGCAAATGTTGAAACAACCAAAAGCTAGTTACTCTTGAAAAAAAAAAAAATCCCAATTTCAAGTATGTGGCTAAAGTTGTAAATACTATTCTCCAAAAAAGTCAGGTATTTATTTGGTAAAGCAAGGCACATAGGACCAGATTTTAATAAAGGTGCATTTTCTTTGGCCCTGTAACTACTTTAAATATCTTGGAGCTTCTTGAGATGACTTTCAATATAATATAAATACTTTTTATAAATCCCATGTAAAGATATATCTATAGTAATCAAATATTTTTACAATGAATGTTTAAATAGAATGAGTGATGCTAAAGCCTATCTTTTAAAACAAAACAAAACTCAGATAGCAATGGTAGCACACACCTTTAATCCCAGCACTCAGAAGACAGAGGCAGGCAGATCTCTGTGAGTTCTAGGCCAGTCTAGTCTACACAGCAAGTTCCACGACAACCAGAGGGTCATAGTAAGACCCTGACCCAAAAAAAAACAACAAATCAAAAACATCTCAGTTGAATGAAGGTATTGAATGACATTTTAAAAGTCTAGTATTTGATTTATAAGAATAGTATTCTACTTTAGGTTTCAGAGCAGGATGTCAATTTCCTTTTGAAATTTTTAATAGATTCTGGTTTAAATATCTAACTGCCTTTTCTTTATATGAAATTATGAGGCATTCCATAGAAATCGGTGTAAACATTTAAAGTCTGCCTCTTTAAACTACATATTCTATTACAGAAGTACCTTACAACTTGAGAACCACGCAGGAAAGAGCTGCTGTTGCTGCAATGGCGAGCCTGTCTGTGGTGTAGAGCTTCCGCCCAGTGTGTTGTGCCTAACTTTAACATAGCTCTCATTCAGCTGGCACTCTTCCCCATGAATTCACACATTCTTTTAGAGATAGTAGCTGAGAAATAACAAATATACTTTTAAAAGCATAAAATTTAAATAATCGAAGAGTTAATATAAACGTATGACACAATAACACCTTTGAATGTCATCAAAACACAAACTACATTATACAAAATTTCAGTATCAATATGCATGACAAAATCTAGGCTACAAGCCCATTTTTCCCCAAACGTGATTATTTCCTCATAAAATTTTAGACTATACATTCAGCTCAATTAAAGTTTTAAATTGACTAGAAAAGAAAAATATAAATGACTTGGGGAGGCAGATGCAGGCAGATCTCTGTGAGTTTGAGGCCAGCCTGGTCTACAAAGGAAATCCAGGACACCAAGGTTACACAGAGAAACCCTGTCCTGAAGAAAAAAAGAAGAAGAAAGAAAAAAGCAAACCAAAACGAAAACAAACAACAAAAAGAAAAATATGATGCCTAATAGATTTTCAGACACCTAAAATGTGTTATTACTTTAACAACCTTAATGTCCAATAACTTATTCATATTATTTCTGTATCGTTAAGAAAGGGGTTACTAATCTAAGTAACCATTAATTGTGAATCCACACTATATTAAAACACTTGCCCACACAATGCTTTTATGTGACTGGAACATGAATCTGCCCTCAAGAGTTTAGCCTATTTGCAAGTTCTAGGGTACACTTAGTCATAGGTCCTAGGACATAAGATTGAATGCTGTGGTGGCCGTACACCATACTCAAAATGGAGTTATTCAATTGCTAAAAGATGGTCACTAAAACCCATAAACCTGGCATTCAGAAAATGTGGTATCACTTTATCATTGCTGGTGCAATGACTTTAAACATTCTGTAATTTGAAGCTTGGAATGGAATTAGTTAGGCATGTTCACTGTTGGGAGATTATCTGCACTAGCAAGATCAAATAGCCAGTCCAAGTTATTCAAAGGGACCTTATAGTTCTTAACAATAGTGCTTTTGAGTCAAACTCTATTTAACAAAAATCCATTAGAACTACATAAAAAAGTTACCTTTTTATAGTTTTGTATCTATTAGAACAAACTTTTAAAATATATACAATATAAATGAAAAAATAAAGTAAAATACATCTCATATTCAATAGGTAATCTGCACATAGTCAATAAATAACATATTCCAAATATAGAATTCATCTTCGCCTCCCAGTTCATTTTACTATTTCTAATATAGTCTCTCACCTTTGAATCAGCTTACTAAATAACTCATAATTTGTGTCAATTCCAGTGCTAACAAGAAAGAAAATCTATTTTAAAGCAAATGGTTGCTCCTTCCCAGCAGCACATAAAGGGAACCCCGAATGCAGCCACCTCTCCCAGATACATGACCAGAGTGTGCCTGGGGATAGTGCGCTTTTAAGACCAAAAAGCTTCTAAACAGCCTTAGGAATTAAATTATAGTGCCCTTTAAAATAATGTATTATTTTAAAAATATTATTGTATTTAAAAATACAATATATGTATTAAAATAAAATAAAAAATGCTGGGCAGGGTTGCCCACACCCTTAAACCCAGCACTCAGAAGGAAAGGCTGGTAGATAGAGCTCTATGAGTTTGAGCCAGCTTGGTCTACATAATGAGACCCTGCCTTAAGAAAACAAAACAACCAATATGCAGTAAGGAAGGTCTACAAAGAAAATCAGCTTGTTCGTGGTCCACTGATATGACTAATACCATTTTTTGCTTGTTGTTTCTGTCAAAAGTTGTGGATTAAGAGAAATTCCTACTGCGGATTAAAAAGAAAGTTCTCCATTTCAAAATTATATACAATATATGCTTCATAATTCAGATTTCTCCATATGGAGACTGGACAGTAATTATTATTTTATTTTCAATTACTAAATGAGTACTTAATCCCTTTAAATTCAGTTAAAATTTTTAATGACAAAACAAACAAATTCAATTTAAGGTAATAATAAAAATTTCTCTTATATATGGAAAAGAAATACAGCTGGAAAATGATTAAAACTTCATTAGTGTCATAGTTGTTGGCTACTCTAGCATTTGAAAAACCAAATTGCATTCAGCTGCCTCAAAGCAGTAAATGGTCAGAAGACATACACAAAGAAGTAGATTCTCTCTACACTAAATTTAAACATGATTCAAACCCAGACTACTACTTCATCAAGTTATATGTAATTAAACAAATAACATTTAGCAATCCTTTGCTTAGTAATCTTCTGTATGAATATAAAAATCCCAGATACATGAAAATGGTTTTAAATTATATTTTTTGTTCACAGCTTTATAGGCAAATTATAATTTTCAAACTTTGAACAATTGATGTAATTTGATATCTGTACAGAAAGAGTAAGATTAGGAACATGTGACAAAAGTAGCTCTACCTTGCAAACATTGGTTGCATTTGTGTGCTCTTGCAAAGGCTGCACTGGACAGTTCCACAGCAACAAAAAAGGCTTCTCCCAGTATCCCTCTAATCCTACTCCCTGGACACACTTCTAAGCGTGGGTTCCAGATGACGTACACATATCATCATGAAGCCTATACATTTTCAAACCATTTGAATAGTATGATCAGATTTAGCATGATGATTTCTTCACAGAATCTGCAGAAGTCCTCTGGGCAAGATTAGTGTTGAGATTCCTAGGGCACCATCATGAAAAAGCAGTTAAAGACAGTACTTGACTATGCTTTAGTGGGATTTCCTGCAGGTTTGGGATCATACCCATACAAGAAAGTAGCTGCTATTACAAGGATGGCTCCAAGGAAAAAGACACTAAATAGGATGAAGAAAAAGAAAAAGAGAAAGTCAGATTAAAAGCAAATTAAGTTCTTTACTGTAGTGTCTCTGTACTATAAAAACAGTTACAATTTGAGAAAGAAATATTCCAGTAACAGTAATAAATGTTAAGTACTTTCTATGTTCCAGGTGCCTGGCTAAGTACGTTGCATGCATACCTCATTTAGTTATTGAATGACTTGAAGCAGAGGAAGAATTAGTTGCATTCTGCACCTTTGGGGAAAAGCTTTCAAAGGGCTTTAAAAACTTGCCCTGACATCCAAATAAGTAGAACACAGGGGAGACCCTGGCTTTCAGCCTGCACTCCATCTACTGTTTTAAGAACAGTACCTCAGCTAACTGCATTTTGTCTGGGATTCGTTCTATAATTAAAAAGTTTTTTTTTTAATGTAAAAGAAAAAGTTCATTCCTTCATGCTAAACTTAGGTGAATTTAATTAGAAATCCAATGTAATAATAACTAAAACTCAGGACCAATGTTAAACAGGATGTTTAACAGACAGAAATGCTATCACACACTTTCCTCTTGAGTATATGTATGTAGAGGTACAATCTACTTCATAGAAACTGGACATAAACCAAACTACCAATTGTAGCTTGTTATATACACAGTTTTTAAATGAAGCTAAAGTCATGGATTAATTTTTGGTTTTAAGATTTCTACCAATGCTTCAAAGTCATTACCTTCAACTTAAAAAAAAAAAAAAAAGGAATCGAAAAGGGCAGGAATCACAGGTCTTTCCCTTCCTGTGACAACACAGGCTTCTGCTTTGCTTTGCTTTATTTGTTACAGGGTGTCACCTTGTAGCCCAAGCTGGCCTCAGCCTTACACAGCTCCTACCAGGACCTCAAGAGTAAGGCTATGCCAAGGTGCTCCATCCAACATCACCCTCAACACTCTTCCCCGCCCCCATTCTATAAATTCAGCCATTTGACTACACATATTTTTTCACGACACTGCCATAATAGATTCTAGTCCCTCAGCCACAATTCCCTTTCTATCAATAAGTGTTTATTGATAATGATTTAGGTCTACAGTCTAAGACTCACTCCCCTAGAGCAAGTTACTCTAACGCTTATCACACTAAGATTGACTAATATATTATCTGCATATTTGTCATCCTGTTTGGCTATATACTCTTCATTCATTATAAACAGAAAATCTATCATATCATGATTATTTCAATGATTTGAGCCCCTCTTTAATGAGCTGTACATATACTTTCATTGACACACTGCTCATGTTATAACTTATCTTGTGCCTGGTTTTCCAGTCACTGTGACTTTCTTGAACATAACCATCTCATTCATAGTTTTTCTCCCTCCCACCCCCAAGAATCCAGTAGAGTGACGGCAGGCAGAGTGGCCACTTAATAAACTTTTGGAAAATGAATAAGCAAACCTAAATGGAATCATAGAAATACTAACAACTAAGTAAGACATACAAGGAAAAATGTAGAATGGAAAGAAAAAGAAACGTAAATATAAAGGTGTATTTTACCTGGTTGGCACAAAATCTTGCAACCAAAAATAGGATATGACTGTTGACAATATTATGGATAAGGAGGTTGCAAATCCTTTTAAAATATTATCTGCATACTTAATGACAGCAGCTATTACAAGGCCTCCAAGTGCCTGTAAAAGTTTTAAGAGAGTATTTTTTAAATGAACATAAAATTGCTTTTCAAAACAATATCATTTCTCAGGGAAGATTTAAGGCTCCTGTTCTATAAATGTAATTACATCCCAGCAAATGATTTATATAAACATTAAAAACAACAGACTTCCAATTTTGTTTCATATCCCTCAATGTAATTATCAAAGCAATCTAAGGTTTGCTGTAATAGAATTTAATCAGACTACAGCAGGGTCTATCTTCACCAAACGAAAAAAATAAATGCCACTCGTTCGGACGCTGAAGGAACAAATGCATATGAGGTTTAAGTTGGAATAAAACCCCCTTTTTACTACCTTTCTACCAGTCTTCTCATTTAGCCTTCTTTAATTTTCTCTCCATTCTTATCTACTTCTTAAGGCTGAAAGGGTGTACTATCTGGTTTGGTTTTGAGGTGACTTTGCAGTGCTAGAGATTGAACCCCAAATTTACCACACAGTAGGTAAGTTCTCTACCACTGAGCTCTCACCACAGCATATAAAGAACCTTCTACCAAATCATCCTCAAACTCTATTGTGACTACTTACAAATGGCAGATGGGTTAAGGGTGCTTACTGCTCTTGCAGAAGACCTGGATATAGTTCCCAGCACCAATGTCAGGCAGCTCACAACCACCTGTAACTCTAGTTCCAGGGGTTCTGATGTTTCTTCTGCCCTCTGCAGACATTGCATATACACATACACTCAGGCACACACACGTACACATAAAATTAAATAAGTAAAAAAACAAAATTAAAAAAACCTTAATGAGTGATGGGTAGTAAAGTACTTGCCTAGTAGGTATGAGGGCACTGGGTTCAACCCAAACAACACACACACACACACACACACATACTCCTATACTTCTTTGAGCATGACATGATGCACAGATGGGAAAGCCTACACCTGCTTGTCGTCAGTCATACAATGCATACAATGCAGTTGCATTTTAAACTGTATTAATATTACTTCCAGGCTATGTGTATGTACATACATTAAAAAATTAGACTTGAGTCACAGTCACAAGACTTATCATTATGTATATTCAAATATTCCAAATCTCAGCCCTTAATTAAAGTCCAAAACATTGCTCAAAGATAAAAAACAATCTGGGTTGCCTAGCTTTGTTTTCTACCAAACCCTACATAACTGCTGCCAAGCCAAGGGTATCCACTCTGCCTTTGTATAATGATGGAAGTTTTAATTTATAAGAAGTAATGAGTTATGCCCATTAGGCTTACTATAAATTATATTTAAATCAATATTTCAGAGAAATACTGTCATTCATCTATTTATTCCCTGTTTAATCCTTCATACCGATTATAACAACTTTAAAAAAATGTTGCTCCTAGGCCAGATATGGTGGTTCAAGCCTTTAACTCAGCAGTTAGGAGGCAGAAGCAGGCAGATCTCTGTGACCTTGAGGCCGGCCTGGTCTACATGCTTAGTTCCATCCAGAGATATGAGGAGAGACACTGTCTAAAAAACAAACAAACAAAAACATTTTTCTCTTCTCTTTTGACCCTCTTTTTAAGGACAGTTTTCCTGTAACTAGGTCAAATATGTCACATAAGTTCTCTACGTTTACCATACCTCCACTTTAAATTTTTTCTGAATTCCCCCATGTCCTTTCCTCCTTTTACAAGGATGGAAATAACCTTCCCACTTTTGAAGCACCACTATCCTTTGACACTTCTCTACTATCCAGGTCCTGGAGCCTTATGACTTCAAATACCTTTAGGAAAGTAGGCTTTAAAAACAGCAACTCCATTTTTCTTCATTTTTATATTTTCCAGAATAGCAAGATGTATTTTTGGAGATGAAATTATTCAACTCTTAAACAATTAAAGCCATATTCATACTGAAGAAATTTGACAGAAACATTTAACATGTAAATATGAAATAAAGCTTGCATAATTATCTAGTGGCTCCTTCTATCTTTAAAGGGCTGACCACAGCCTTTCTTTTTAAAATTAATTTACTTTTTATTAATTACAGTTTATTCACTTTGTATCCCAGCTGTAGCCCCTCCTTTATCCCCTCCCAATCCCACCCACCCTCCCTCCCTCATCTCCATTTATGCCCCTTTCCCAGGTCCACTAATAGGGGAGGTTCTTTTCCCCTTCCCCCTGACCCTAGCCTATCAGGTCTCATCAGGCAGGACTGGTTGCACTGTCTTCCTCCGTGGCCTGGCAAGGCTGTTACCCCCCTCGGGGGGGGGGGGGGGCGTCAAAGAGCCAGCCACAGAGTTCCTGTCAGAAACAGCCCCCATTCCCCTTACTAGGGCCCCACTTGGACATTGAGCTGCCATGAGCTACATCTGAACAGGGGTTCTAGGTTATCTCCATGCATTGACCACAGCTTTTCTAATTGCAGAAAAAAATCAAAAGGTATATTTACTCTTACCTTTAACTATTAAATGTTTTTGGGTTTTGGGGGGGTTGTTTGTTTGTTTGTTCATAATGGACCTCTTTATGTAGTCCTGGCTGTCCTGGAGCTAACTATGTAGAGCAGCCTGGCCTCAAACTCAGAGATCCTCCTGCCTCTTCTTCTGGAGGGCTGGGATTAAAGGTGTGCACCACCACTGTTCAGCTTGACATTATTATTGTTCTTGTTATTGTTATTATTATTACTTTATTATGTGTATGGGTATTTTGCCTGTGTGCATGTCTCTTCATATAAAATATATACATATATAGGAATATATATATATTCTTTTAACTTTATGTTCATTGGTGTTTTACCTACATGTATGTCTACATGAGGGTATCAGAAGTCCTGAAACTGGAGTTACACACAGGTATGAGCTGCCATATGGGTGCTGGGAATTGAACCCAGGTCCTTTGGAAGAGTAGTCAGTGCTCTCAACCAATGAGCCATCTTTCTAGCCCAACTATTTAATTCTTAAACTTACATTTTCACATAGCTTGAAAGGAAACTCAGTAGCAAAGAACACTGGCTGCTCTTCCAGAGGACCCAGTTTTGTGGCATACAAACCATCTGTAACTCTAGTTCTAGGGGATATGGCTCCTCTTTTGACCTCCATGGGTTCCAAGCACATATTTGGTGTATATACATACATGCAGACAAAACACTCATACATATATAAGTAAATAAATCTAAAAGTAACAACAACAATAATAAAACATCAGCATTTTTGTGGCATTTAAATTTAAATACCATGGAGTTTTATCCATGACCCTTATTCAAAATTAGTTTTAATTAGGGCATTAAGAACAGTTGTATTTTAATTTCCCTGAATAAACCAATCAGAAAATAGGAAGACCCCACCACCTTAAGTACCAGCACATCAGTAGCCACTTTAATCCTCTGTATTGAAGCAATACTAGTAGTATTAAATAAAAGACTTATATGCTTTACCTGCAGAACAACAACTGTCCATGTCAGTTGATTATATCCCTGAAAAAATCCGTTCTTTGATACCAATTCTCCATCATAAACATATACACCCATTAATCCAAATATACTCCCAAAGAAACCTAAAAGAAAGTAAAACCTAGGTCATATGGCAGTTCTTCTGAGGAGATATTTTTCCACTGACAATCCTGACTCCTTCCTGGCTCCAACTGGCAGGGTCCTGCTTTGTGTCAGAGGCTAACCTGGGAATCAGCATGTAGCACTAGCTGGACTGGAACTCTTGTTCCTTTTGCCTTGTATCCCAAGACCTACACCACCCTGCACAACTTAATTATTTCTTTTTGATGAAATCTGAATACTTTAAAAAATATTTCACTTAAGCTAGGTGGTGGTGATGGCACACACCTTTAATCTCCATGCTAAGGAGGCAAAGGCAGGTGGATTTCTGAGTTTGAGGCCAGCTGGGAGAGTTCTGGGCCTACACAGAGAAACCCTGTCTCAGAGGAAAAAATTCACTTGATTTACATATAAACAACAAAATATACACAATACTATGATGACTACATAAGCAGGCAAGCACAAGAGTATTTTAAAAAATAATTTACCAACTTTCAAGCACTATAATAATGTTTAAATTACAGGATTTGAATTATTAGATTGCTGATCCACTCAAGCATTAGTAAAATGCTTGCTTGTAGCAGTTCACTGTATCTTGAATTTTCCTATTGCTATGACCACATTTTTATGACTAACGTTTATAAATACATACATGAAAGCTCACATATATGACATAGAATTTCCTTTGTATTACAAGTTTTAATGAATGTAGGCAATGAATACAAGTTACGAAAGAGAATATAAAGCTAATTGTGTTAATAGTGCTATTTCTGTCATGAATTTTGTTTGTTTGGTTGGTTAGTTTTGGTAGTGGAGAAGGGGATAAAAATATACTTGTCAGTTTAAGTGTAAAATCCAATGTGAAGAGCCTCAGCTTCTGGCCCAAATGCCTACTCTATCTGTGTATTAGTTCACTGAACTGTATAGTCTATGGCTGACTTCTTTCTGTGTATGTTCTTTATATATAACTTTTTTGTATCTTTTTTATAATTTTTATTTTTTAATATTAATTACAGTTTATTTACTTTGTACCTCAGCTGTAGCCCCCTCCTTCATTCCCTCCTAATCCCACCCTCCTTCCCTCATCTCCTCCCTGCCCCTCTCTAAGTCCACTGATAGGGGAGGTCCTTCTTCCCTTCCATCTGACCCTAGTTTATCAGATCTCATCAGGACTGGCTGCATTGTCCTCCTCTGTGGCCTAGCAAGGCTGTTCCTCCCTCCGGGGGGGGGGGGGGGAGGTGTCAAAGAACCAGCCACTGAGTTCAAGTCAGAGATAGTCTATATCTAACTTTTTTAAAAAGAATAAACTTGTTTTTATGATTTTTTTTTAAAGTGAAATACTTGATAACCAAAACTCCAGGCTAAGAACTGGTTAAAGCTAGCATCAGATTCTGTACTTATTACTGAAATCTCATTGTTAGAGAAAATTGGCTCAGTGAACTTCACTGCTGACTTCCATGTGTCAACACAGCCTCCAGACCTCTGGAGCTAAGAGTTCCTGGAGCGCTGTTAGACTATGGAAACCAACAGTGTCACATCTCATGGTAGAGCTTTAGAATTATGCTGAAAATTGGGTATGCATGATGGATTTTAAACAAAGCCATAGGTTAGTAGAGTGTGAGGACTACGTAAAATTCATTTGTACAAGCCCTAACCTTTTAATGTATCTTATTTTTCTTATTTTTAGTATGAAACTGAGGCATGTGACTTTTAAAAAATGTTCAAAGGCACACATTTTTAAATTTAACTTACAAAATTAAAAGTTGACAATTACTAAAACACATAGGTCGCACATGTTGGAGCTAGAAAAGTCTTTCAAGTCACAACTGTTAAAGAATTGTTCTTTCTGGCTCTACTAGGATGGGCTTAGAGGGTAGTTGTAGGCCACTGGAGATATGCCCATGATCAGGACTGTGGGTCCCTAGTCTCTTCCTCTCTATCTCTGTCTCTTGGCCACTATGAAATAAACAGCTTTCTCTGCCATGTACATTCTGATATAAGGTGCTGCCTTGCCACAGGCTAAAAATCAATGGCCCATTAGCTGGAAGGCCCAAACTTTTAAGACAAAGCAAATTTTCTCTCTTCATATGCTGATTTATCTTAGGTGTTTGTTACAGTAACAGAAGGCTGTCTAAGAGCATACAGCATATATATGCACTATATCAGTGTATACAGATAGACCTACTACATTCTAATACTGGCCAGATAGTCCACTGACTAAATGACAATATCAGATATGTACATAATACTTGTTCCAAATGCTTTATGGATGCTAACATACTGCAAGCCTCTCAGGTTGACACTTATATGCTTGTTTCTGTGATGACCAAACTTCCCCAGATTCACACAATGAAACGGACTCAATCGTTGAGTCTAGGCAGTGTGGTTGTAGGCACTTTTTAATTTTACATATTCTATCTTCTGAAGCACAATCTTAATTATACTACATAATCAAAATGACAATTCATTAGGCCAGTCTTATTTTCTGGTTTTGGGTTTGTTTTTTAACACTTATAACCAATGATTAAAGTAGTACTTTGGCATCTATGTTTCATTCCTATAGGAAAATTTTTACCCAGACCTGCAATTATTGTTTCAAAGCATACAGATATTTAAACATCTTTTAGGTGTTACCAAATTGAGATCCAAGAAGGTTCTAGCAATCTGTTCTCTTAGCAACCACAGGTAAGAAGGTTTTTGTTTTCTGCTTACTGGTTGACATTTGCTAGTCTTTGATTATTAAAATATTGCAGTTTTAAATTTTTATTTATGATCTTGAATTATCTATAACTTATAAGTATTCTTTCAAAACTCAGTTTAACTTACCCCTTCTTCCCATGAGTTCATATCAAACTAAAGAAAAAGAAATTCAAAAACACCCAAAAAGTATAAATTCTGACTTGTCTTCCACTTTCATCATACAATTCAATGAATTTTTATGAGGCCGCCCAAAGACCTTGACTATTCCTTCTTTTCTGTTTGCGACATGAATAGCTTCCGATGTGTACATAAGGGACTTTACTCTAAATAAACGAATACTCTCATTTAACCCTCATAGCAATGTATGAGGTAGGTGCAATAACTAGGAACTACATTATACAGATAAGAAAAAGCACAAAGAGTTGAGTAACTTTTCAGAGGTCACATAGATGAAAACTGGTGAACTCAAGACTTGAGCAGTATGACTTCAGAACCACTCTTTATGACTTCAGATGCACTCTTTATGAAATGGCAGATTAAAGTGCTTAACGTTTTCAAGCCTGTGAATTTGTCTTTTGGACAAACAGAACAATTAAATATTGCTTCAAAAATATTTACATTCAATATGTTTAGAGGAATGACAGGTTTCTACAAATTTTGTGGAAAATGTGACAAAAATCAAGTTTTAGATGTTAGTCAAACTTGGAAGTGCTGACATGAACCACTAGGCCATTAAAAGTACAACTTACTGTGTAGGACTATATGTGTGATGATCAAGAGAGACATAGTCTATCTGTTAAGCTGATGTCAACTGTGAAGGAAAACAAAGCACCAAGGAAAGAGGCTTACAACAGAACATTCTACTTAGAAATAAACCACTCTTGTGGAATTTTATACACAGTACTATCCAAGAAATAAGCCAGGATAATAAATAATGTCCAAATCCTTACTCAAGAACTTACCCACAGTATCCTAAATAATTGAAGTATTTGTTCAAATAGAATGCTACAATAAAAGAGGTAGTTTTGATTGGCTATTTTCTTCTAACCTATTTACTACCAGTTAAGAAAGGGTATAATACAAAACCAAAACATTACACTGAAATAAAACAGCATGTTACAACTATAAAAGAAACGAAAATTGATTAATTTCCAATTTCTTCCATTTTAGGAGTAAAATATGTAAATTAGTTGCAGCATCCTCACAAAAGAGGCAATAAGGATAAACATGCTGAGAATACATAATTGAGAGCAGGAGCAGGGTACACTCCTGGACCGTCGGCTTAATTTTTCATATCATGAGCCAAGGCAATCATTTCAAATACAGTTTTCTAAGGGCAAGATCACTACCAGTTCTTTATATCAATAGTACATTTGCATTCAAGGCTTATGTACTTAAAGATATAGGGAAATCTACAAATGTAAGAACATAAATCTTTGTCTGGGTTCTTTTTAAGATGGGGTCTCCCTATGTGACCTGGTTGACTTCAAACTCATGTTACTGCCTCAGAATCCTGAGTGCTGGGATTAGAGGTGTACACCATCATACAGGACTGGTATAGTTATTTAGAAATATATATTAGAAAGCCTTTACAACTTACCAAGCTGAATGTTTCGTATCCATACTGATTGTTTTGTTTCTTTTAAGATTTTCTCAAAATAAACTCCAGCAAAGCCACTTGAAAAACATGCTGTGAGAACTGCCATGAGGCCTACAAACTGTGAGCCTGTTGAAAGTTCCTTAGAATTCAGCTCTTGAGAATCTGAAGGCCACTGAATAAAAATAAAAATAAACACTGAAGAAGGCAGTGAGATGGCTTAGTGAGTAGGAATACTTGCAGCCAAGACTGACAACCTGGGTTTGATCCCTGGGATTCACATGGTAGATGGAGAGGATCAACTCTTACAAGTTGTCTCCTGACCTCTGCAAGTAAAAAGCACATACAAATGGAAGAAGATAAACTAACTCAAGCATAGTATAAAGAAACTGGTGAAAAGGGAACCACTAACACTGCAAGGAAAATACAGGGCATCAGAAAGACTGAAGTCTTTGATAGGGGTACCAAGCATGGTACCCATGTGATTTAGATGTTACTGACCACGGTTTATCAACTATTGTTAAATATTCCTTCACATCTATTTCTCACTCTTCTGATGTTCTGAGAACATCACAGTTTCTAATGAAACTATGCTTTTTAATCTATGTTTTAAACTAGTATGTATTCATGTAAACATTGGGTTTCATTATTTTCATACATAATGTTTCATGCACTTTGATCATACCCCAATGACTGTGGTCCCCTTCTTTTCCAAATTAGCCCCTTTCTATCTTCATATATTTTCTTTTAATCTACATTTTCCTTACTCCCCCCCTCCCCACCCCTTTTTGACTTTTCAAGACTAGGTTTCTCTGTACAGCCCTAGTTGTCCTCTGCAGACCAGGCTGGCCTCAAACAGGAATCCATCTTCCTGCCTCTGCCTCCTAAGGCTTAAAGGTGTGAGCCACCAGGCATGGCCCTTAATCTTCAGTTTTCAAATGTGAAAATCTAGTTCACTTACTATAATGATCTCTACATTTTCTGGAAAATGACATAAGTCCATTTTTTATGAATAAGTGTCACATTTACATTATCCACTGATACACTGAAAGGCATCTAAGCTGATTCCATAACTTAATTATTGTACAATAATATCTTAACAATCCCACAATAAGTATTAATATCTCTGTAGTACATTCAACTATATATTTAAAATGGTATAGCTGAATCACATGGTAGCATTTTTACTTGTAAAAGAGACTTTTGCTTGTTTGAATTGCTGTCTCAGAAGATTACTGTCTCCAGCCGCTAACCTAGGCTTAGAATATTTGTAGCCTCTGAGACTTACTGCTGAATTAAGCTCACCCATTCTTGTTCTTTTGGACCTCATAGCTGGCTGGTTCAACTCAGCTGTTCTGGCTCAAACTCCTCCACCAGCTGACTTATTCAATCTGGCTTGTCTCTCACCCTCTGAATTGTTCTGCTTGGCCTCTAACGCTAGCAATCTTTTCTAATCTTCTGGCTCCTCTCATTCAACCTCTCTATGTAAAACTTTGCTGGTAAAAGTGCCTCCTCTCTCTCTGTTGCTCCCTTAAGTAGCTTCTCTGGGCATATACTATTCTGTAAAATCTTTCTCTGATTCATCACCTTTTCTGCCACTCAATTAGGCATCAATTTCAAACATAGGCACTTCCTTCTACAAACTATCTTTACCCTCATTGTTTGAGATTAAAGGTATGTACCATCACACCTCCTGGATTTAAGCTTTACCTGAAAGTTGCTCTATACCAGGCTGGCCTTGAACGCAGACCTGCTTGCCTTTGTCTCCTGGATTAAAGGTGTGTTTGTATTCTAGGCAGATCACACAGGCCTAGAAGGTTTTTGAATGTGATCTCTTGCCAGAGTAGCCATGTTCTGAATTAAAATTCCTCTATATTTACTTACTGAGCAAGATGGTTCAGTAGAGAAAGTGCTTGCTATGTAAGCCTGACAATCAAATCCCTATAACCAACATAAAGGTGGACAGAGAGAACTGACTAAAACTGTCCTTTGACCTCCACATGTACTCTGTGATATGCATGGATCCACATCTCTCTCTCTCTTACACACAGGAAAAATTAAAAATTTCCTATGGAGAAGGCCCCATACTATTTTCCAACCGGCTGCTTCCAATTACAATCCAACCAGAGGAACATAAAGGGTGATTTCCTCACCATGATCCTCGCCAACATTTGTTTGTTTTCCTGATAATAGCTATTTGGATTAGGGTGAAATGGAATCTCAGTGTAGTTTTGATTTACATTTCCCTAGTGGCTAAAAAATAGTGAACATTTTAGGTATGTTTATTAGCTATTTGCATTTCTTCTTTTGAAAACGATCTGTTCAGTTCATTTGCCTGATTATTGATAGTCTTGGGACTTCTGGATGTTTGGTTGCTGTTTTTTTTTTTTTTTTTAATTCTTTATATAACTGGATGTTAATCATGCCTGATGAGGAACTAGTGAACATCCACCCCCCACCCTGCTCCAAAGGTTGTTTTCATTGTCATGCAGCTTTTACATCTCATGCAATCATATTTGTCAATTGTAGCTACTGTTCCCTGATGATGGAATCTATCAAAGACTCCATGCTGTTAGCTATCTCTTAAGTGCTATCCCTGTTCCCTGTCATAGTCTCCAAATTTCAGGGTTTACATTAAAATCTTCAAACCATTTAGAACTGAGTTCTGTGCTGGGTGGGGCAGTGAGCTAGCTTTAGCCTTGTACTGTGGATGTATAAACATAGCTTCTGAGCACCATTTGTTGAAGAGGCTCTGTTCTCCAATGCATGCTGAACTAGCTGGTTCTGTGTCAAGTTAGAGTCATCAGAAAGGAAGGAGCCTCAGTTGAGGAAATGCCCTCATGAGTAATGCATTTTCTCAATTAGTGATCAATGGAGGAGGGCCCAACCCTTTGTGGGTGGTGGCATCCTTGGCTGTTGGTCCTGGGTCCAGTAAGAAAGCAGGCCGAGTAAGCCAGTAAGCAGCACCCTTCCAGGGCCTCTGCATCAGCTCCTGCCTTGAGGCTCCTGTCCGGTTTTGAGTTTCTGCCTGACTTCCTTGCTGAACAGCAATACAGAAGTGTAAGCCAAATAAATCCCTTTTTTTCCCCCAACTTGTTTTTTGATCATGGTGTTTCATTGCAGCAAGACATATAACTAAGACATGTGCATTAATCACCTGTATCAGCAATCAGGTGGCTGTAGCTGCATAAGTTTATTTCTGAGACCTCTCTTCTCTTCGATTGGCCTAAATGTCTGTTTTTGTGCTAGTACCATGCTGTTTTTATTATGACAGCTCTAAAGCATAGTTTGAAATCAGGTACCATCATACCTTCAGCATTGCTTTGTGGATGGGGTAGAGCACAGGCAGAGGCAGGATCTCACACTGTAGACTCACTAGCCTAGAATTCACTAGGTAGCCCAAGATGGCCTCAAACTCATGGCAATTCTCCTGCCTCAGAGGGGCAAGTGCTAGGATTATAAGTGTAAGCCACCATGCATGGCTACTATTTTTGCTCAAAATTGATTTGGCTATGCAGGGTGTTTTGTGCTTTCACATAAATTATATAATTTTTTAAATAGCAGTAACAAAAACATTCCTCAGCTATAGCACTCACATATTAATAAGTTTTTCTTTTGAAGTTTTTTGTTTGTTTGTTTGTTTGTTTGATTCTTTGTTTTTTAGTTTTTAACATTTGTTTTATAATCTAAACTGCAATCTATTTTGGAAAAAGAATTCCATGATATCTATGAATTCCTTACCTTTAGATAGACTATTTTGTCTCTATCAGATAAGTACGTTTGGTCTATTGTATGGTATAATTCTCAAGTCTGTTGATTGCTTTTGTTAACGATCTACCTATTGATAAAAGCTAGGCAATGAAGTCATCTACCTACTCTTACTATATCTGAATGTATTTCTCTTTATGTCCAGCAGTATTAAAATCATTCTTTTCATAGTTACTGGAGACTTTTCAATGTTAGTGTTTTTGTTTTGTTTTTGTTTTGGGGAGGATATTACATAGTCCAGACTACCTTCAACTCACAACAATCCTTTTGCCTTAGTCTCCCAAGTGTGTGTTTTATAGGTGTGTACTACCACAAGCTTAAACACCTTTTAACAATGAAAAGTATTCACTTCCTATTCAACTTGCCTTCACTGCAGAAACATGATACTGAACACCAATTTTTTGACTCTTGAAACTGTACCCCTTCTCCCTTGGCCCTCTATGTAACTACTCAGTATGCTTTCTGTGAGGATGGAAATGTTCTGTCTCTGCTAATAGTGTAGCCGCTATCTTACGTGGCTACCAAGCATACATACATACACACATATCACATACATAAACATACACAAAAAAGAAATGCAAAAGTGGGAGACAATGACTCCATGAAGAATAAAAATAAGGAATCACTAGAAAGCTCTGAGAGTTAGGGGGGAAAAAAAAAACAGTATCAATAAAAACAATAGATGTTAAGGGGACCAGAGGATCACTAATGATCTCAGAAGTTCCATGGTTCTCACAAAACTTAAGCTTCTTTCTTTTATATGCTGATTTTTTTTGTTTGTTTTGTTTTAGTTTGGTTTTAAGACAGAGTTTCACTGTGCCACGTCTTATTTTGTTGGACTGTTCCTTCCTTTTTTTTTTCTCTCTTTCTCTCTTGCCAAGAGTACTGGTTTATACGTACAATCCCAGCACTCTCAAGACTGAAGCAGAAGGTGGTGAGATCAAGGCTCCAGGTAAGGTCTCCTTTAAGAAAATAAAATATAAGGGCTGGAGAGAGAGCACAGCTGTTTAAAACACCTGCTGCTCTTTCGAAGAACCTGAGCTTGGTTCCCACACTTTAGCTCACAACTATCTGTAACTCTAGTTCCAGAGATCTGATACTTTCTTCTGGCTTCTATGAGATCCTACATTTATATAGTATAAACCCATGCAGCTTACACATATACATATAATGTTAAAAAAAAATCTAAAGTCTAAAAAAATGGATATTGGTAGATAGATAGGTAGGTAGGTAGGTAGGTAGGTAGATAGATAGATAGATAGATAGATAGATAGATAGATAGATAGATATCTGTAGAGATAGCTCAGCAGTTGAGAGTGTGTGCTTTGCAATAATGAGAACCACAGTTTGGGTCTGAAAACTCAGTAAGAGGTATGTACACCTGTAACCCCAGTGCAGAAGAAGGCAGAAATAGCAAGATCTTTGGGGCTTCCCAGCTTCAACCCTACTCAACAAAATACAAACTCCAGGATCAGGGAAACACCCTTAAGTAATTGGCAGAGAGTGACAGAGTTCTGGCCTCTACGCATATGTGCATAGACCCATAGTGGCTCTTGCCTGTAATCTCAGCCCTCAGAAGACAGTCAGGAGAGTCATCAGAAAAACACAACTGTGTGTGTATATGTGTGTGCACACACATGTGGTACTGAGGACCAAAGCAAGCCTCTGCCAGTAAGCTACGCCACAGTCCAACTGTTCAGTTCTTTACTATAAAGATTTATTCACATATTCATTTATTTATATCATACCACATACTCTCAATGCAGTATTAGCTTTACATGTGGAGCCATAAAAAATATCTATCAGCATTTACTTGCTTGAACAAGTAGCGGAACCATATTCTTTATGCAGAATATGTCAGGATTTTAAACTGACAGAAATGAAAGGAAATGCATACTTATCTTGAATAGTTACCTGTACAAAAGCAACTCCTGCCATCAGAATTACTAGAGAGAGCCACTGGAACACACCTAATTTTTTACCAAGCATAGACACAGAAAATAATGCTGTTGTAAGTATTTTCAACTGGTATGTAACCTAAAAGAGAAATCAGCAGTATTATTAATGTTCAGATTTTTGTTTGTTTCTAAAATGACTATTACAAATGTATTTCAGATACCTGGTAAGTGGCTGCATCTAGGTTTGACAGTGCCACATAGAGTAGATTGTTCTGAAGAGTGTATATCCCTGATGGAATAGCAAGCTTAAGTGTTTCCATGGGTTTATTGAGAATTTCATCATGTAGTACTCGATTCAGTGTTCTCACACTACACTCTAGAATAAACAAGATGGGGGAAAAATCAGTCATTAACATATCTCTGAAGAAGAAGTAAGCTTTTTTTTTTTTTTTTTTTTAATCGGCCTCAGTTATCTCACTTTAAAAACAGTAAAGTAGGGGCAGGAGAGATGCCTCGGCAATTAAGAGAAACCACTGATCTCACAAAAGACCAGAGTTCAATTTCCAGCACCCACAATGAGTGGCTCAAAACTGCTTGTAACTCCAACTTCAAGTGGATCCCATATATCTGACCTCTGTGAACACCAGCACTTAGATGCAGAGACAAAGGAAAACACACACACACAATTAAAATTTTTAAGTAAATCTTTTTTTTTTTAAGACAGGGTTTCTCTGTGTAGCCCTGACTGTCTTAAAACTCACTCTGTAGACCAGGCTGGCCTCAAACTCAATCTTTGCCTCCCAAGCGCTGGGATTAAAGGAGTGCACCACCTAATGTTGCTCAAATTATTAATCAGTAAAAAGTATTCTCTTATCACAGTAACTTTATAAACTCTGTATTTTACTAATTCCTCATCTACCCCTGCCAATTAATTATGAAGACATTAGTCATTAAAAAAAAGGCAAACTAACTCGGGAGTAAGAGTGCTACAAACAACAGAAAAACTGAACTACTAGCTCCGCTTGTCTCATGTAGCATGAGTCCAGATCTAAAATTTTTATAGTAGGCCGAGGACACAAGCTTCAGTATGTAAACACACTGGCTTGTTGCAGTTACACGTTTTATCTACCACTAAGCTGTACACCCTTAGATCAGACACTTAGGGTTCCTCCTCTTAGAATTACCCATCTACATCTTTTCTAATGACTCACTGTCTCTTTCTTACTGTGCTGTAGTTCTCTGTAATTCTAGGTACTTACTACTGGTTATTTGTGTGGCAAGCTTGTCTCCTCACTTGGTTTGATACTTTTTTTTTTTTCAGTTTACAATATGTCTCCCAAAAAGCATTTTTGCTCCCCTAAACCACACTCCTCTGATATCTTTGTTTGCTTTTGTAGTTGTTGGAGATCATTCACAGTACAAGTTCACACAGATCTTCATGTGTTTCTAACACAATCCATGCTAGTTTAGCATTGTGTTTAACATTTAGATTGTGTTTCTAACACAATCCATGCTAGTTAACAGCTCAGGCTCTAAAATCTACAATTGATAAGTGGGACCTCATGAAACTGAAAAGCTTCTGTAAAGAAAAGGAGAGTCAATAGAACAAAACAACAGCCTACAGACTGGGAAAAGATCTTCACCAAACCTATATCCAATAATATCCAGAATATATAAAGGGCTAATATCCAGAATATATAAATAACTCAAGAAATTAGGCAACAAACCAAATAATACAATTTAAAAATGGGGTACAGAGTTAAACAGAGAATTCTCAATAGTGGAATATAGAATGGCAGAGAAACACTTAAAGAAATTAAGAGAAATTCAAATCAAAACAATTCTGAAATTCCATCTTACACCTATCAGAATGGCTAAGATCAAAAACTCAAGTGACAATACAGCTAGAGAGGATGGGGAGAAAGGGGGAGCCCTCCTCCATTGCTGGTGGGAATGAAAACTTGTACAATCACTTTGGAAATCAATCTGGTACTTTCTCAGAAAAATGGGAATAGTGCTACCTCAAGATCCAGCTATAACACTCCTGGACATATACCCAAAAGATGCCCCACCATTCAGTAAGGACATTTGCTCAACTATGTTCCTAGCAGCTTTATTTGTAATAGCCAGAAGCTGGAAACAACCCAGATGTCCCCCAGCTGAGGAATAGATACAGAAAATGTGGTACATTTACACAATGGAATACTACTCAGCAATTAAAAACAAGGAAATCATGAAATCTCCAGGCAAATGGATGGAACTAGAAGAGATCAACCTGAGTGAGATAACCCAGAAACAGAAAGACAGGCATGGTGTGTATTCACTTATAAGCAGATATTAGCTGTATAATATAGGATAGCCATTTACAGACCTAAAGAAGCTAAACAACAAGGAGGACCCTAGGGAGGATGTGTAAATCTCATTCAGAAAGGCAAACAGGAGACACCAGAAGTGGAAGAGAAGAAACTGGATGGGAGCCTACAATAGAGGGTCCTCTGAAATGATTCATCCAAAAGGGAATGTAAGCAGATGCTGAGACTCACAGTCAATCTTTGGGCAGAGCGCAGGGAGTCTATGGAGGAAGAAAGGGGTGGGAATAGAGGGACATGGAGGACAGGAGCCCCAAAAGGAGACCAACAAAACTAAAATATCTGAGCCCAGGGGTTCCTGCAGAGACTGATGCACCAAGAGAAGACCATGCATGGAGAGGACCTAGACCCACTGCTCAGATGGGCCAATGTGGATCTGTGCAGTGGCTGCCTATATCATGAACTCAGTTGACTGACTCACTTGCTCCTGATGATGCAGCCTTGCTAGGCCACCGAGGAAGAGGATCTAGGCAGTCCTGATGAGACTTAGCAAACATGGGCAGATAGCAATAGTGGAGAACTCCCCCTTTCAGTGGATTAGAAGAAGGGGATGGGAGAAGAGGGAAGAAGGGTGGAACTGAGGGGAGTTGAGGGAGGGGGCTTCAATCCAAATATATAATGAATAAATTGTGAAAAAAAATAAAAATAAACACAATAAATAAATAAATAAATAGAACTAAAGAACTCATTTTTTTCTCAAATTAATAAACTATGACTGCAACTAGAAATCATAATATTAACTAGCATGGATCGTGTTACAAACTGAATATAACAGCTTTAGTACTAAAACTGGTACTAACACAAATGCGTGTGTGTACATGAGTTGACTTTGGCTATTTTCCTCAGTGGCTCTTTACCTTATTTTACGCAAAGTCTCTAACTAAACCTCAAGCTTGTCAAGTAGGTCAGGCCAGCAGGCCAGCAGGCTCTGGTGTCATCCTACGTCCTCCTAGGGCTGAAATTACAAGCTCATGCTGCCACATCCAGCCATTTATGTAGGTGCTGATGATCCAAACTCAGGTCCTGTCACTTGCATGGTAAGCATTTTACCAACTGAGCCATCCCCTTGGGCCCTGTCTTACTAATTCTTAAAAAATATTGAAACGTTAAGTCTAGGCAAATTAAATAATGCAAGATAAAATAAATAAATCCATTAAATGTATACTTAAAAATATGTTTACATATATAAAAATTCAACTAATCACATAAAAAAGGAAAAAAAAAAAACCCTAGATACCTACTACTGTCTTTGTAGACTAAAAAGATGCAGGCCATTATCTTCAAAAATTCAGCCACAACCACTGCTGTAGAAGATAAATAACGAGGACCTTCTTCTTTTAAAGTCCTAGAATAACGCATCGTTAGAACCAAACTGGTAGTCTGAAATACCAAAATTCCCAAGGAAAGATACTTTAGGTTGGCAGACATTGTTTTCTCTTCATTTGTCTGAAAAACAAAATACACAGGACAAGTTAATCAAACTAAAAAATACAGAAATGAATATCCAAGAAGAGACAGAAGTTCCAAACAAGAGAAGCGTCCTCTTTCTAATTGCAACAGCAACAAAAAAGCCTGGACCAAAGAGAAAGGCACCTGCCAAGAAACTTAAGCTGAAGAAAAGAAGGCAAACTGATTAAGGTCTGAGGGATGAGCAAGCATTGTTTTTGAAGATTTATGGCTACCTCTATACTCTACCAAGTGCTACAATACCATATAATTTGGAATTGCCACAAGTGCAGAACAACAAAACAGACAATGAAAACTCAGTTTCTCTAAACGACTAAAGACAGTTGTCCTAAAAACTATTGCAGCTGGGTATAAACTGTGGGGAAAGCATTGTTAATTCTCAGCACCTGAAGTAATGAAAGTAGCTGTGATGACCCATCCCTCTCCCACCAGGGTCTGCAAAGAGAAGCGTTGGAGTGGAGCACTGTTAGCAATTCCTGCAATATAGAAAGTGAGTATCTGCAAACAGAATTCCCACTCTTCCCCACCTGGCTATGAATAAAAGAGATTTAAGTAGGAACCAGAGTTTCATAATACACAAATGTTCAAGATACAACTCAAAATGAGTAGAGTCATCAAAAAGCAAAAAGGTTTAATTTGGTTGAATTGCAACAATCAACAGACAATACAAAAAAATAATAATAATAACCCAGATGTTGGTGTTACAAGAATTTCAAGGAAGCTACCATAAAAATGCAGCAGCAGCAACAACAACAACAACAACAAAAAAAATCATTAAACTTCTTAAAAATAATTTTGAACTCATAAAGACAAAACAGGTACAATAGTTCTTACGCACTTTTATCCAGCTTCCTTAATAACAGCGGCCACAAAGTCCTTTTAGTTCAATAAACTATTTCAACATTGCTCGGAGAGACTTTTATTACTATTATTATTTCAATTATTATGATTCGGGTGATGCCAGGGACTGACCCCACACCTTCACACATAGTAAGCTTGCTGTCTTCCTCTAAGCAACCCAGTCCCAACAGACTTGCCTTAAATATATAGCCAGAGATGTGATGAAAAGTCAAAGGACTGGGCCATCTTAGGAGTTTGAGAGAGTAAAGCCAGGAAAATCACTTAAACCCTGGAATTCAAGGCCAACCTGGGCAACTTAGTGAATGAATCCCAGGCTCACAAAAAAAGGAGGAAGGGAGCAACTCCTTGAAGAGAAGGAGAAAGATTAAGACAGGGAGATGGGCAGGAAGGATAAAGATATCACATGAAAATTATGAAAAAAAAAAAAAAAACAACTAGAGGTCTTATATTAATGTCAGGCAAAAGGCTTACCTAAAATTACTTGTAGACTTGAAGGATATTTCATAGTAATAAAAGGATCAATACACCAGGAACCTATAGCCATTATAAATGCATGTGTACCTTATTAAGGTAGTTTCAAAACAAATGAACAGAAATAAAAGAAAAATATTTAACCTACTTTTCTTAAAAATTACAATAGAATGAGGAAAAAAACTGAAAAGATCTAGAAGCTTTCAACAATTCTATCAACCACCATAACTGCAGTAGACATGGAGACAGTCCACTCAGATCTTATGCATGCTTAAGCATAGTTGCCACTGCAGCTCCTGTCCAAGATCATACGGACTGCTCTAAAGATACAATCACAAACACAATCCCCTCTGCTGTCTGTCATGGACTGAGTAAGAATGGTCCCCAGAGGCTCTTATGTTTGAATGCTTAGTTAACAGAGAGTGGCACTATTTGACAAGGATTAGGAGGTTTAGCCTTGTTGATGTAAGTCACTGGGGGTGGACATTGAGGTTTCAAAAGGCCAAGTGTCACTCTTTCTTCCTGTGGATTAGGGTGTGGCTCTCAAGTACTTCTCTAGCACCAGAGCCACCTGCTTCCATGTTCCCCAAAATAATAATGGGCTACACCTCTGAAACTGTAAGTAATCCCCCAATTAAATGCTTTCGCTGATAAGAATTATCTTGGTCATGGAGTCTCTTTACAGCAATAAAATACCAACTAAGACACCTTTTTTTTGGTAGAAACTAGAAGGATGAGTTGGGTGTTTTTTTTTTTCCTCTCTCTCTTTTGGTAGTATTTTTTGGATTGTTTGTTTTAGGATCTCCCTTTTTCGCCCAAACAGGTCTTAAACTCTTGTGCTTATGCCCCTCCTGCCTTGGCCTTTGGAGTAACTGAAGCCATAAGCTTTATGCTGCCAAGCTGATTTTAAGACTCACATGAGAATATGAAGGATCTAGGGAATGAAAACAATCTGGAAAGCTGGGTGATGGTGATGGCCACATTCCTTTCATCCCAGCACTCAGGAAGCAAAGACAGGCAACCTGGTCTATGTAACAAGTTCCAGGACAACCAGGATTACACAGATAAACCCTATCTTCAAACAACAAACAAACAAAACCCAAAAAACAAACAAACAAAAAAATACAAAACTATTTGGAAAGAGCAAATTGAATACTAAATAAAATGCTAAACTTCCAGATTCACTAGAAAATTACATAAGATGCCCATCATAAGCACAGAGGTATAGAGCAATGGAATACAGTCCAGAATTGGATCCATATATCCCATTTTGTTCAGGCAGCTATCAGTGTAGAGGAATCTTAATCTAGCAACATGGCTGTTGTGGCAAGGGAATACATCCAAATACCTTCTAGGTCTATGTAATCCAGCTGGAATGCAGACAAACTACGGATTACAGTATGATCTGGCAGGAATACAGACACACCCTTAGTACACACATTTAATCCCAAACAATGAAGGTAAGGTTAGTTTATAGAAGGAAAGCAGCCATGTTTAAAGTAGGCAGGCAAAGTGAAGAATGAGAGAAAGACATGACAGAATGAGTCAGAGATAGGATACACCCAACTCATAAGAACAGGATAGGAAAGAGAAGCAGGGAGAGAGCAGTGTGGAGATGGAAAGAGGTGGGTTTTTTGTTTTTGTTTTTTTAACCCTACAGAGAGAGGTTGCAGAGAGGAAAAAGCTAGACATAGGTGAAGACAGAATGAACCAGAGCATGAGAAGGAGCCAGAAGATTAAAACATATTGCCAAATTAATCTGAAGCCAAGAAGGGACATTCAGTCAGAAGCCAAAAGAAGCCAGTTTGAATCAGTCAGCTTGGAGAGGAGTTTAGAACAGAGCAGCTGAGTTAAACCAGCCAGTGAGAGTTCAGAAAGAGCTAGAAAGGCTTGGGAATGATCTTCATCTCATCCCCTCATTTGAGGAAATAAAAATAACATTTATAATCTGTTATAATCATTTATAATCTGTACCTGTTCCTGGGTAGCTTATAAACAACAGGAATTTATTTCTCACAGTTCTAGAGACTTAGAGATCCAGGTGACTATGGCAGCATTGTCAGGTTTTGGTAAGGTCTTTTTTCTAGGATTGCAGATGACTGTTAGCATTATACCCTCACATAGTAGACCATTAAGAGTTCCTTGGGGACCTTAATCTTGCCTGGGAGTGTTCCAGTCTCATATAAGTATCCCAAAGGTTACATTATCCCCAATCCCATCACATTGAGAAATGGCACATTGGTTGAGTGCACAGTGCTCTTGCAGAGGACCTGAATTCAGTTCCCAGTACATTTCAGGCAGTTCATAACCACCTGTAACTCCAGCTCTAAGGAGGCTGACACCTTCATCTGGACCTTGTAGGCACCTGCATTCACACACACATAAACACACACACACACAAATAAGTCAAAAAATTTCTTTAAAATATCACCTACGGGCCAGAGAGAAGGCTCAGGAAATAAATAAGCCATATGGGTAAGACTAATGACCCAAGTTCAATCCTGAGATTCAAAGTATCCATTGACTCACATCTGTAATTCCCATGGCCAGATGGGATGCAAACACAAGAAAATCACCCAGAAGCTCACTGGCTAGCTATGATAACAGCAGAAATAAGAAAGATCTTTCCTTAACAAAGGACAGAATCAACTCTAAAAGTTGGTCTCCAACACCCACATGTCCACCATAGCACATATGCCCACAAATACACATATACACATGCCTGCACACACACAATAATTATATAGAAACACACTGAAACATAATTTTTAATATGTTATTTAATACTCAAAAAAAAAAAAAAAAAGCAAAAGCAAACTGTATCGATAGATACTAACATACAACTGCCTGCAGTGAAAAGTTAGGATTGAGGGCTGACTACAAAGGCATTAACAGGGAATTCTGCTGCTGATTAAAATATTTTGGGTAGTAATTATATAATAATATTGAATTATCAGAAATCACAGGACTGCAGTTAAAGTCCTTTCACTACAAGTAAATTCAACCTCAATTAAGTCCACTTTAAAACTTAGTTGTCGGGGCTAGAGAGATGGCTCAGAGGCCAAGAGCAATAGCTGCTTTTCCAAAGGTCCTGAGTTCAATTCCCAGCAACCACATGGAGGCTCACAACCATCTAAATGAAATCTGGTGCCTCTTCTGGCCTGTAGGTGTACATGCAGGCAGAGCACTGTATATATAATAAATAAATAAAATCTTAAAACAACAACAACAACAACTCACTGGTCAAAGCCACACTTGACCATGAAGCACTCTCCATTGGGGTTTCCTGTTATCTTTAGGTTAATGCCAGGCATAATATGTTACCATGGTTTTCACTCAACTCTCTTTTCCATGAATCCCATCTTCCACTCAGATTCTCCCAATCTGTATGACCTTTTTGTAGTATATTTCCTTTGAACTCTCACAGCTAAGCTATTTAGGGTACTAGATAAGTGACTGCCCCACAACCACTAAGTACTCAAATAGTACATAATCAAGCAGATTCAGCAACCATTAGTCCCGAAATCGTGCCAAGTACCTTGTTTCAGAGACTATCCACCCCACCCCTTCCTTTCTCTGAAACAGGGCCCTGGCTGGCCTGGAATTTGATATGTGGAGCAAGATGATTTGCTTGCCTCGGCCTCCAG